ATTTCCTCCTACTTTCTGGTAAAGTTTCATTGAATTTGATATTGTTATAAAATTTTATTCTTTGAACTGAGGAATCTCAGGATCTTATCTTAAAAGGCAAAAGGCCCTTTTTAGTAAGCCCCTAACCCTCTAGAGAAGTGCTTAAGCAAATGCCCAAGTGCTATTAAAATAAGCAGGTGCACAAATGTTTCCTTGAACAGGACACTGAACTGGTTGTTCCCATAAGAGTGCAATGAACTGCACATTCTCATTGCTTTTATTTGAATGACTCAGGAATGACTCAGCTCCATAAAATTGTTTTCCTCTAACTTTTCATTTTAAAATAAAACATGCTGCAAGGTGTCTTGATTTATGTCTCTACTGATTTTTTTCTCACAAATGTCTAGATCTATTTCTGCTTTTCATATTCATTAATACTACGTTTTCTTCTTTTGAATCTGCCCATCATATACCTCATTTTGGTCACTGTTTACAGATTTGGTCACTGCGTATTTCATTGACCCAGATGTTTCTCATTACCAAGATGTCTTGCTACCCCTACTTGTAAGCCAAGATGAAATGTTCTGTTTCTAATGAAGAAATTAAAAAAGATACCCCCCCCAATAATTTGGAAGCAAAACCAAAAACTTTGCAGTTCTTCCAAAGGGGTCTGTTTTTTATTTAACCCTTTTCTTCCTTGTAGAGCAGGAGAGGAGCTGAAACCAAAGAAATCAGATACTCGTTGGGCAGTGCTGGGCACCATGGGCCAGAGGCAGCCACATGRGTTGGAGGAGATGCCACACGGTGCCCTCAGGCTTAGTATCTTCATCAGGAGTTGTAAAGTGGCAGGCCAGGGGATAAAGAGAGAGCTAAAAGGGTGAGGAACTGTCAGCTGCAGTCAAGGTTGGAAGGAAGGAAAAGATGTTGTGAGTCCTAGACCGATGGGTCAAACAGTAAGACTTCAATAATAATCTAGTAAGGAAGAGAAACTCAGCTCAATGAGGCCCGGGATGTTACTTTCTTATATGAGGCGGGATTGCAAAAGAGTTGCAGGATTGCAGTGTAATAAAACTATCCACTTAAATTATATGGGCTCTCCATATAGCTTATCTTTCCATTCATAGTCACATTGTGTGGCCTTCAGTTCTGCATGTTAATAATGGAAAACTACTGTAGGGACACCACACTCTGTCAGCTTTTGTGATTCCTGTATTCTGTTAATGGGCTCAAATTGTATTTGTCGACAGTGTTTCAGTGTTACATTGTTGTGTCCAACTTTCAGTGAACTTCACAAGTTTGCATACATAAAGTTGTTTGTTGGATGCTGCTGGCAGAAACAAATGTGTAAGTTACAACCCTTTGGGTCTCAGCTATCAAATAGCAAATCAAATATGTATATACCCAGCCTTCTGGCACATAYTTAATATTTACTAAGTTACAGCAGAACTGTAGGTCAATCACCATAAAGAGCAAATATGCAGAGCATAAAATGAGGGACACAGATACTCATCTGATAGTAGTAGTTAAAACCATCAGTAAAACAAACACAAAAATTCAATATAAGATGTGGTGAAAAATATTGGTTAAAACAAGTTTTACCACAGAAGATATATGTCAAAGACTCCCAGCTTCTTCCTCATCAACCACTCGGTAATTTCTTTTCCCTCTAAAGAATCTAATGTCACCTTCTCTTAGTTTCCTGCAATAGATAATATAAACCATCCTGTAACAAATGTAAAAGGCTTGGTAAAGGCTGCGTCTTGAATATGACAATTAAAAATATGGAGATTTTTAAAGGAAACCTTTGGTGCTCCTCTGATCATTTCAGAGATCAGTTGCCTAATTAAGTGCCTTTTAGCTTGTCTAAAATAAACAAGTTCTTTATTCACATCTTTGAGATGAAGTGATTTTTTTTGTAGCTGTTAGCTACTTGATTACAGTACAATATATGCAGTCAAATTTATAATATCCTATCTCAGTGTAATGAAACACTATAAAGCTTTCATATGAAATCAGAAACTAAGTGTTTCTTTGACTGTTTCTTATCTGTGCATACTTTGAGGAGTAGAAAAAGTGCAGGTGGTTCTTTGCTGCTCTTTTATGGAGACATCTCTAGGCCAAGATGAAAGTATTTCCTTCCCAAGATGCTAGAAAACAGAAGATGCTACAAAATCCAAAAAAAACTTTGTGATCCTCACTTATGTGAGGATCCTCACTTACGTGAGGATCATATTAGAGCTGAGAAGGACAAAGGCAATGATGTGTTAATTCACCTAGCTAAAACAACTAAAAACTTCCTTCTGCTTTCTTGTTCTTTCTTATCTAAGAAGTTGAAGAGATTCCTACTGTATTGTAACTGTACTGTTAAGCTCTGTAAGGTTGTTTTGCTAAATAACTTGATCACCCAGGGCTTTTTGGCATATTTGTAAAATACTTTAAATGTAATATAGGTCTGAAAGCCTTCAGCACGGGAGTACGTAGTAATTCAGTAATTTATCATATGAAAACACCACGATCTATCTTGGGGAGTAATTTGATAAGCCTTTCTGTGTTTTAAAGTGAAATTTAAGGTCATTTTAGCCCAGTAAAAGAAAACCCTTTCAAAATTCTAATCAAGTCAAAACACTAATTTGGTCAACTTAGCACATTTTTTTCCTGCAGTGTAAGAACTGTCAAATCAAACTYATTTGTGTAATTTCTAGCAGGCCTTTAAAAGTTGATCAAGATGGACAAACAGAAAAAGTGACGATATGGTATTCRGTATTCAGCATACTTGTAAGCTTTGATTGCATCCAAACTGTCTAGGTTCAATGGAATTTTCTGAACTAATATGTTAAACATATATAGAAATGTATATATAATATTTAAAAATGAATTTTATATAAATATTTTTGAGCTGCTCAGAAGAATATAAAAAGGTACATCTAAGATCCTGTTTTGAATGAATCAAACATTCATTAAAAATGAGTAACTTACAGGAAAAATAAAGAAAAATATTCAGTATCAGAATGAATTCAAGAATGTATGACCAGAACTGTGGTTTTGCTGTGGTGGTGSTAATTTAAATTTCTGAGAAAAATGCCTTTAGTTTATGCCAAAATTATGTGAATTTGGATTGCATTCACTCAGTTATTTTTTGGGAGGAAAAATTTGATGAGATATTCATACAGTTATAGAGACGAAGGACATACAGGATGTACAGAGACAAGGCAGCATCCCAGCAGGGGCAAGGGATATACAAGTTTTCCTTCCTCAGCTATGGGAAATCTGAGTTCATTTCTTTATGCGACTTCAGGAAATCTGAACCTCCATTTCCTACATGGTATTTCATAGCTTGATCACTGGATTATAGACTGACTTGAGTGATACATTCATATTATTGCTGTCTGGTTCATGCTGTTCTATTTAAAGTAAACATCCACTAGTGTAAGTCTGAAATATAGCTGTCTTACCTCTTAAGTAAATGTCATAATCTTTAGAATCATTTTCTCCCTACCTTTTGCTTTCTTTCATATGACTTTCATAAAATTGTCAATTGCCATTTCTTTAAAGGATATTTCTTAAAGATAGACAGATTTGTTTTAACATGGTTTTCCATAGTCCAACTGATTGCTTGGCAGAAATCATAAATTTCATAGGTGGTGTTTGTTCATGAGATTTCAAGTTTGGATCTTGGATAAGGACAGAAATAAATGGTAAGCTATCAGGAATCTTATTCACGAAACTACTTATTTTGGTAGCTGTGATAATATTTCCTTTCTTTGAGGCTTTTTGTACAATATGCTATCCAACTCAAATTTTTTGAGCTTCTGGTAAAGCCTACTCATGATTAAGGCATTTTTCACTGGCTTTCAGAATTTAAATGTGTTTTACCAAACCTAAGTAAACACCACTAAATTAAACAAATTTTTATGCTAGCTGGAAATGCAGTAAAAAACCTTTATTGGTATTTTTCCTCTGAACAGTTTTTATTCTCCSTGTACCCTAAATTGCATTAGCAGGATAGGTATTTGACCAAACTACATCGTGGACAGAGTTCTATTGTTCTCAGCTTTTTTCCACTGCTTGTAATCAGCAAATCCGACTATTCAAACTGCTGGGCTAAGTTGTTTATGTCTCATGTTGGCGTAATGACAAGTAAATACATCACAGCATGTATGAGCCAAAGCTTTGGAGTCTTGAAACAATAGTGGTCTTCTGGCTGCCAAGGCTTCTTGCTCCCCAGAAACTTTATTTGCTAAGCTGTGATTTCAAAAATGGTTTACTTTTTAATCTTAGAGTTTTGTTTGCTAAATAGAACAACTCCAAGTTGTCTATTTATAACTAACGTAATTAATTTCATGCCTTTCAGTTGATGTTGCTTTGCTTTCTATATTATGTTACTGCAGTCCATGTTACAGGCAGAGTGGATATGTGTCTGGGGGAGGGCCCAAGAAGAAAAGATTAGTAGAAATGCCAACAACTGGTAACTATTCCAATTAACAAGATTTTTAACTGAAGGCGAGGTAGGGCCTTGTGCTTATGGTATGGGAGTAAAGCCTAGAAAATTAAAATTCTGTTTTTCTCATGACTTATGACATATGGTTAATGACCACGTTTCTCTATTCAGTTTTGAAAAATTGCCTTACAACGTTGTCATGGTGCCAGAAGGCTAAATTCATGTTAAATCTGACGTTTAGATCAGAGATGGTGGAGAAGAAAATATTTTAATTTTATTATCAAAAAAATTAGTGCAAGATATGCAAAATGTGAGGTATCTTAAGATGACTGTTGTGGTATATTTCACTTTCTATACATSTGAAGAATTAACTTTGAGAGAATTCTTTGTTACCCTATATAAGGGAATCATATCCTGGCTGGGTGATAAAAGTGTTTTGGGAGAGAGGGAAGGCATACCGTAAGAGTATGTATATTTGATGTCAAGTTTGTGTAGTACAAAAGTCAAGAAGTGAAATGATGGTATGAGATCGTATCAGTAGAACAGGATTTCTTTCCTAAGATTTTTTTGTTTTGTTTTACAGTTTGCCCAGCTGGTGTCTGTCTACAAAACTTTGGGTCCAGAGAAGTTCCCATTAATTGAGCAGACATTCTACCCAAATCATAAGGAAATGGTACGTGCCGATATCAATGCTAAATTCAATTAGTGTCTGTATAAAAGAACTGTAAACACATGTATTTCACTTATTACCTCTGTTTTTAAAAGCCATACTGAAAGCTTTCAGTGGGATGGCCACTTAGAAGCACTGTAGTTGTTTAAACAGAAGACTTTCAAACCTGAAACCAGTCATGTATTTTCAGAATTTCAAGAGATTAAGCAGTTCTAAAAACAGAACAACTAATAGCAGGGACTACACTTATGGTTTGTTTTCAGCTTAATCTTTTTTTCATGCTTTGCAAGCGTTTGTTATCTTTGCAGGCAATGCCTAATGCTATATTTGCGTAGAACAAGTGACTCATCTACAGTCGCCTTGTTTGTGATCTTTGGTATGTTGTGATCTGTATTGGTATTGTTTCATTACCAGTCCTTTACGTACAGAAATAGATTCTTAAAAAGGATACTCATGATCTTTGCTTACCTTTTTTCCTAAAGTAATACATGATTCTACAAATTTTAGATCTTCGATTGCCTTTGATGTCTGTTTATGCTGTATTTCCTTAARGTTTAAAGAAATAACAGCTCTTTTTTATAGCTAGCAACAGACTAGCTCGGAGACATAAACTATTTTTAGAATATAATTCTGATCTTGCTTAGTGTGTGTCACAGTTGTGATTTAGGTGCCCCAACTACTTGTTTGTTAGGTCCTCAAGCCATAGTTGCTGTTTGTCTGAGATTCTGGCCAGGGCCAGCATTTCATTGTCCTAAAGGACGTCTAAGATAACCTTTAAAGATACCAAGTAACTGAGATTTCCTGTGAACACTGTTTCTCCTGCTTCTGTCTCCCTGTTTGATAACAAATAAAATATGGTGCTGCTTTGCTGTATTTTCTGATGTATTGTGATGAAGGTGATAGGATGGCTGTTTCCATTGCTCTGACTACTTTGGAATTAACTTACAGATTTTTCCTCTTTTTTGACATATGGCACTTATAAAAAGAGCTTTCACCAGAGTTACCCATTTAGTATGCTTGCTAGACTGAAGTTTTGCAGAGCCAAAGGAGAATGGTACTGATGCAGAGCAGCAGATTAAAGTATCATCCTGAACAGTACAATATTTTCAAAATGGGAGAGCTTTTTATTGATGAATTTGCCAGGAAAATGTACAGGGTTTTTTAATGCAAAATAAGTGTTTCATGCTCTGTTTTTTAATTCATATCACTTGGAGAAATAGAACCACATCTCATGTCTTGCAATATTGTTTTTCAAATGTTCATAAGTCTTATATCATTCTGCGTTCCTAGGAATGGCTAAGATCAAAGCTGGTTTGTAATTTCTTGTACAAAGTTAATTGTTCTATCTCATTTTATTGGTTGTTGTTCACTATTTTGTTGAAACAGCATCTCTTTTTATGTATTGCTAAGTAGCAGCATATAGAAACAAAGAAAATAGCGTAAAAATGTTGGCCAAAAATTTAATATTTCAGTGTGGCCCTGTGGAAGGTCTGCCAAATCAACTGCAAACTGCTATTTCAAACATGTTTGGATTTCAGTCCAGCAGTAGACTGCAAACAAGAAAATCTCCATATTGCATTGCAACTGCAATAAGTTTCATAAACGTAAGACACTGAAACTGAAAGACAAAATRTGATGCAATGCTTTTCTGGTATAGTGTAGGTTCATGAGTTACCAAATTAATTGCAGTGTAATACAATGTGCTTTCATGGGTGAAAAATGATTAATGTAAATTTAACATATTCAATATGATCAAATATTTGGGAGCTTTTTTAGAAAGCACTTTCCATATACGTTGTTTAATAACTATTGTATACATTTTTACTTAAATTTTTAAAGCTGAAGCATGTCCTGAAATAGAATGTCCTAGTCTCCAATCTGTGTTGGTGAGTTACAACTAAGCACCACTACTGCAGTGAAGAAGAGACATGGTTCCTATGAATACCAGCTGTTTTAGGGTGACATTGTTTGTACTGATGCTACACAGAGCATAAGCCATTCTAGACTATAGGCTACTCCACGGGAGCCATGAATTGGATGAGATGCTTTTCATTGTGCAGGAGGTGTTTTAATTATCATGAAAGTTATGACTGCAGACAAAGCTATGACCTAAGTAGCATACAAAATAAGCAACATAGTGTTTTTATCTTTTTTAATCACAAAAGTGTTTAGCATGTTTCAACAGATACGGAAAAAAAAGGATCTTTGAATCATTTTATAGCACAATGTTATAATACTTTACATATACACTGTACAATAATTCTTTCATATCAAAGACTTTCATACAGAAAAAATAGTTCTATGAAACATTTTTCATGAGAAAGATGCGGAATACAACCTGGGGCTCTCTTAATCTGTYGGGTAGCTGAAATAGAGGATGAAATTGACAATTCTCTTGTTCTTYTAAGTTGAAGCTGGTAAAAAAGGGAAAAAAAAAAAAGGAAGTTATGCTGCAAGGAGCAGAGAGGAGCATTCTCAGTGTAAGCCTCTCTGTACAGAGCATAACTTTAGAGTAGCTACCTCCAGGAGATTTGTTCTTCTTGCCTTAGTGCCAGTTCCACAAACTCTGTACTTGAGCTGTGCAGGACGATATGTTTTTGTTTCTAAGCAACAGATACATTAGACAGTGGCAGTTCGAAGCTGTGAGCGTGCAGGGCTTGGTGGAATTAGGCGCCGAGGCTTTTAGGAAGTGATTGTTTTAAGGTTCGCTGATATCAATAAACTCTTTCTCTGGAGGTGGACCACCTCGGTACCAGCTGCAGGTGCCATCGCTTCGCTTGATGCAGGCATAGTGCTTGGCCTGGTGCCCATACAGCTTTCTTTCTATGAGCCAGTCTGTCCAGAGGCACTCGTTCGGTGTGCTGATTGAGCAGGGCACCATGTAGCAGGTGGTGATCTAAATGGGGAAGAGTACATGATATAAGTTAATTGAAGCTTTCTTTAAAATTAAGTTTATTCACAAATTATGTAATATTTTGTGTATAAGAAAACAGAACCGATCAGCGAACATTGCCATTTCCTTTAAGGCTAGCTCCCTGTTAGGCTCTGTTTCACACACTACTTACTTTGCAGCCACAGCCCATTTGATATCTCTGATTGAGGCTCTTCTTTTGAGACAAGGATAAATCATCCCATGGTTCAATGTAGTTGCATAAATGGATAAGGACTTTACCATCACTTAAAATTTGTCCTGCAGCATGGAAAATAAAAATAAGGCAAACAAATGAAAGTTTTCTGAGGATTGAATTAAACTGAAAGGTTGTTTTAATAATAATAATATAACAAAAAAGCCCCAGTATGTTAAACCAGGGCTCCTGGGCTCTGTAGAATAGTCTGTGTTTACACATTTGTATAGAGGTAGGCATGCGTAGTCTCATTAAAAAAATTTGCATTAATAGGAAAACTGGTAGTCTTGATTTAGAGTTAATAAAAATGGCATAATTATTTACTAATGATATAGTTACATTACAGTTCCTTTAAAACTTAGATCTGCTGATGAATGATGGAAAGCAGGAGATCAAAGTATAATTACAACTTTTATATAATTTGTACTTTCCATTTTGTTTGTCCATGTAGACTGTAAATAAATACATAGTTTTATAATAGTCATATCGTTTTGCAGAGCCAATTGATTGGACACTGAACAGTTGCTTCTGCTTTTATAGGTAGGTTTTACTATATTTTACCTGTCAAAAGGTACTGTTTTTTGTTGTTAGCTTCTAGCTTCACTCCACAGAGTGATGAATCAAAAGGAGTATAGACATATTGGACATCCTTCACTTTTTCAAATCCTTTAAACATCTGAAAATTATCAGAAAATGAACAATAAATCAGTAGTGTAAAACGAAAACTAGTTGCAAACAGCTGTTACATGATGTGCCTCTGCAAAAATGTTCTTTACAGTCTTAACTTAGAAGAAAATACCACATTAGATCCAATCTGTATGTGGAATGAAATGTGTCCATTACTTATAAGGAAATTAGGTGTCTGGGTTTTTTAAATTACAAGTTATTAAATACACTTTTTCAGTGATTTTAATTGATTTAAAGATTTGAAATTATCTACTGGCTTGTTCTAATTAAGGAATACTGCAGACCCAGCATTTAGCTTAAACAAGATGCTGCACTTGTGAATCTTTGAAGATGCAAGAATTTCTCTTTATTAATACAGCTAACTCTCTTCTGATCAGTGTAAATGCACGTAACTGCCAGAAAAGGCAACATCCAAAGAAACTGAGCATTGCTCTTATACTGTTTGTAAAACAAGTTTTTTTGCCTTATCCTGATCAGAATTCTGCCCAGTGTGACCTTTTGAAACAGTTCTTGGAAAATGGGATCCAGTTCTCAAATTTAAAGCGTGCAGCACCAAAATGGAGAGGATCAGAATCAAAGTCCATGCAGGATTCAGATTGGCTGCTCCCTATGTGACTTTTCCAGCTATGACTGTTTTTCTTAAGGAAAAACATTAAAAAAAATCAAAACACATGTTATATCCAAATGTGAGAGGGAATTGTAAGAAGCTAATGGGCTTCAGAGTGGCTGTCATCACCTAATATGACATAACTGAAACCCCAGCATGGAGGCAGCCCTGCATGGTAACATCAGGCTGGGTGTTGACAGCTGTGGATGACTGCAAAGCTCCCAGGGGCTGGCTCTCCCTGCTGCAGCTGGAGTCACTGCACAATATGGTCAGATTGCTCAACTTCTGTCAAGAGATTTAAACAGTACAAGCCCAAGAAAATATGCTGTCATATATTGATTTTACTGAAGCCTTTAGTTATGGATTTTAAAAGGTCAAAATAGCTGTCACAGGGCTTCTGATCCAAAAATACTAGATTGTAAAACATTTAGTAAAAGAAACAAACATCCAGCAAAAACAAAACAAGCAAAAAGACTAAAACAAAAATGATATCCTATACAAAGCAGCAATGTGTGATTAAAATCTGTAAATTCGTATTGGGTAATATATTGATTTATTAGGTAAAAGTAGTCTGGATATCTCAATCTACCAGTCCAATTTGGAAGACMTTATCAAAAAGATGGCCAAATGAGGAAGCAGCAGCAGGCTGCATGTGTTTTGTAAAGAACCTGCTTTCCTGCTAATACAAAGTTTTGGCTTGAGTAAGGAGCAGAACTCTGAAATTTTGTTTCTGTGATTGTTAAAGATAGTGAGCACTGATCTGGCTTCCAACTCAGCTGAGCAACCTGTGTGTCAGGGCAAAAGCTCAGGATCTGCCTCTGTTGCAGCTAGAAGTAGTGTGGCTTGGAAGGCCCAGATATTGTGACCCCTTTGTGTCTTGCCAAAGCATATACAGAAAGAGAAAACATCTTTTGTGTAAAACTTTCATTAAAAAATAAACCTCTCTGGTATGTCCCGTCCTAACAGACTTGCTTCCACAATCTCAGTGGAATTAAATGAAGATCTCTTGGTGATGTTTTTGAGCTTAAGAAACTTCCTAAGCTTCCCACTTAATGGAAAATGTGGGAGAAATGCCAAAGCGAAGAACCAGGTTATAGGCTGAAAATAAGAGCACAGACTACATTTTCCATATGTTTTTGTGCCCATATGCAAGATTTGCATTTCTGTAAGGTTGCTCACTAAATCTTTCAGGGTAGCAAGGCAAAATTAAAGCCCAAATAGGAGGAGGGAGAATTTCAGTTGTATTTGTATGCTGTTTGCCTAGAGAAACATTGGAAACTATGATTATTGCTTGAGTAAAATATGGCAGCTGGTAAAGAGTTTGGGGGTTGTGGTGTAACAGGTGAAAAGAACTGAATTATTGAAAATGCTGTGTGGGTGTGTGTGTACATATATGTGGTGTATGTGTGTAATATAAAACTTCCACAGAAATGGTGTGATTCTACTCCTGTGAATATTTTGAGGTTTTCTTGTCTACCATAAATGTTTGTAATTAGAACCTGGGGCATGTGAACTCCCCGGTAATCATAATACAGTATGATTACAGTCCATTTAAAAACTGCCATCTTTCTTGGTAATGCATCACTGTCAGCTTTCCAAGAACTGATACTAGCTGTAGAATTTTTTTTTAAAAGCCACGTATCCATTCACAACAATTCACAATAGTTTACTTGCATATTCTGAGTAAATATAAGAGAATTTATTCTATGAAAAATCAGAAATTAAACTGCTTATAAAACTCAAAAAAAAAAAGCAAACAACACTTTAATATATTATCCCTGAACAAGTAACTAATCTTTTTGAGGGTTTGATGGTGATTTGAATGTGATCAGGATATGTTTTCTGAAACTTCTCTAGAAGACATCAAGATGTCTTCTCTAGAAGACTAAAGAAAAGTTCTTTAGTAAATACTTCGCCTTATTAGAGCTAAAGTAGTAGTAGACCTTTCTGTAAGATTTTGAATCACTTCTGTTTTATGTGTGTCTACTATGAGTTTGCTTTCCTAGCAGCTTTTGTACATGTTTTTTTTGTAAGGAAAGGTCTTCTGTTTCTGCCAGTATTCCTGCTTATTTGTGAACACAGGTCCTTGCTATTTCAACTGGAAACACTTGTTCTTTGTTTATAAAGTTTGTATCCTCTTAGTTTTATCATAATCTAACATTGGTCTTTAAAATTCGACAGGAGAGTAAGCAAATGTGAATACCATAGTTAATAGACTGAAGTATATTTTCGCAGTGTTCATCAAACAGTTCTGAACTAAATTATCATCAAGCTACAAAATACCTCATGAATGTCAGGACAGCTTTTCTTTTTTTCTTTTTCTTTTTTTTTCTTTTTACTTTTCCACTCCAGCTTTGTTTTCTTTTTAGTTCATTCATGTCTAATCTTGGAGCTAGGTGGATTTGGAGCTAGTTGTACTCATATACATTAGTTACCAGTATTCAACTTGAAAATAGCTAAGTGATTCCATGTACCTTTATTTGTTTGATTTCATACCGGATCATTTTGTGGGTATCAAGAGGATCATCACTGGCAGGAACCACCTTTTCGCTGGATATTTTTGCACGAATCACTGTAATAGGAAAAAAAGGTTTAAATGACAGTATGCATATACTCCATCTTTCAAGCAATGGATAAAATTGCATTTTTCCTTTAAAGTTTTTTGGTACTTCTAACATTATTTTTTATTCTTTAGCTAAGTTAGAATTTAAAGTTGTTACTGTAAGTATGTTAACTAGTGAAAATAAAACATCTGGGTTGTCTGTGATTAAAAATACTGTTTTTTTATGGATGCATATCCCATTGCTCAGACATTTTCTGGCATTATGGGTTTAGGGCCAAAAGCTCAAAAGGTAATCTCTAAATTGTCTGTCTAAGCTGGAGTAAGACTACTGAGCTCTTGAGGTACTTGTTGCTTATGACTATTGAAACTCACATTCCAGAAATCTGAATTAAGTAACCACTGAGTTTTGGTAAATACTTTGTCCAAGGACATAATCAAAAGAAAGGGTAAGTCCTATTGATGACATGAGTCTATCAGTTAAACAGAAAGATCATGCCAGGCAAGATATAACAAAGAAATTGTTATTTTAAAATTCATGTGGGGCAGGTGTGATGGTTGGAAGGAGCCTCAAAAGGTCTAGTACAACCCTTTCCTCAAAGCAGGATCAATCTGAATCAGGTTGCTCAGAGCCATGTCCAGCTGAGTCCTGATTATTTCTGAGGATGGAGACTTCACTCTCCTTGGGCACCTGTTCAAGTGTTTGACCACTCATGCTGATACTTTTATACTTCTTACTAAGAAAAATCAAGCTGATGCAGAGGAAAATCATTGGCATCAAAATTATGCTTTTACCCACCAAAGCATTTTTACTTGATAAATAGGCTTCCAAACATGCTAGCTAAAGGAAAATGAGAAACCCAGATTGTAATTGTTTTTACAGCCACGGAGAGGTCAGCCTCATCTAGTAACAGGCAACTTTCATTTTATCACTTGTTAGCAGAACAAACTAGATGCAGTAATCAATATGATGCAGATGCTTGCAGCTTCAAAGCATAAACCATACATTTTTTGGCACAATGTTCCTTCCAGCCAAGCTATTCAAAGTATTTTAAGGGAGCGTTTTAAACTTAGGAGTTGGATTGAAAGGAAAGAGTTCTTAAGTATGAAACTGCTCTTCAGATGGTAAGTGGCAGCATCTCTTTAATCATATGCACATGTGTGTTATTCCCACAAATAAAGAATACTTAAGTGCTTTGGTCTTATTCAGTTTCAAAGTCTTGTGGATTGTGTATACGATACTGCTACAAAGATCAAATTAGAGTCATGTTTTGTTCTGTTTTGTTTCCCTTTGCTGCATCAATACTTAAAAAAATCCCATTTATTCAATATTATTCAATATAGAAAATTGGAGTGGGTTAACAGGATCTAGCTCCATTATTTTCTTCATACAGGTTTTATACACAAGAAATCTTTTCTGCTAATTCAACACCCCAACATATGTAGGGCAATTAAACATGCTATTTCCCTTATGTATAATGCTGAAATATTACTCAATTTCAGTTTTTTATTAAACTGTGTTGTCCCTTTTGAAGACTTCAAAAGGGAACATTACAGATGATTAATAATAACTCAGAGTGTCTCCATGGAGTTATATGGCTGAAAGGATAACATTTTGACTTTTGCTGTTGAGGAATTTTTTTCTGTGTGTAGAGAAAAATAGAAAATGTTTTGTGTTGTGTAAGCTTCATTTGTTTGTTTAATAGAAAGCTTCCAGATGGTGGAAGAAAGTCAATTTTCAGGGTTTTTATGACTAGACTTTTTCTGTTAAATATTTAGATCTTTAGCTATTCAGGTTTTACTTTTTTGTTTTCTTTAAAATGTTGATGCACATAAATCTTTTTAGTCCTTAGTCTTTATTTTCTGATTTTCAGATTTTTTTTTTTACATCAAGGCCATCTAGCTGTCTCTTAATCTTATTCATGTGGTTGCTTCTGTTTTTAAYCACAAACACTTCCTGACTTCAGCATTCTTTGGGCCTACCCCTCTCCATCTCTTCACTCATGGTTCAGAGAGTGGTTATAAGGCAGGAATCCTGCTAGTCTACATTTCTTTTCAAAATTTCAAAATGGTTTCAAGCTTGCAGGCTTGGCGGCTGCTTGCTTGGGCTGAGAATAGCCCCAGGCTATTTAGTGTAATAGTGTCATTCAACCTATCAGACAGTTACTGATTCCTTACAAGGAGTTTGCATCTATAAAATATATATGTATTGCCTTCATATTCTAAGGTCAATAATTGCCTGTCTCGAATTCATTCTTTAATTGTAAAACCTATGATGTATTTTGAAAAACTGTTGTTCTCTAACATTTCAGTAGTAAAATATAGCCTTTCAACAGCATTGCATGGTTTGTAAGCTGTGTATTTTGATTCATGGTACCATTAAATTATTATTTATTTTATGCTAATATAAGAATATGTATATGTAATTAAAATTTTTCTTCATTGCTGAAGGTTTTCTCAGGTAACTGAAATGAAAAGAATGATGACCAAGAGCCAAATGGAAACAGTCAAACCTCAACACAATCACACTGGAAGTTATTTGCTTCCAATCCTATGCTAGGCATCTGTGTAACTACTCATTAGTGTCATAGCATGTTGCTGTGGATAACACTTGATTTAGCAAATCAACTTGGCAATTGCAGCGCATTTACTGTTAGAGGAGTGTTAAGAATATTTTTGTTCTTTTTTCCTTGAAAATTAAGTGCATTTCAGCCATTCCTATAGTGCTTCTAATTGTTTATTCCCCTGCTGYGTCCCAGAAAAAAATATTCCTTTCCAAAGTCTGAATCCGAATTTGTTTTTCTGAATAACTTCAATTAACCAATTTTGTCTCATTGGAACAGATAATTTAGAGAATTTGTGGAATATCCATTCCTGGAGATGGTCCAGGTTCAACTGGAAGATGCCTTAAGCAACTTGGTCTGGCTGGACCTGTTTTGATCAAGATGGGACTAGACTTCTGGAGGTTCCTTCCAACCTCTATTACTCTGTTCTGAGCATTGATCAATGAACACTACAACACTGTTCTCACATGTGAAGTGGTAAAGACTAGTAAATACTGCCCATTCTTATCCCTACTGAGCTGTTTATATGCTTCTTAGAATTAAGAGTTGTATATCATTGTCATGAGACATGCATCCAGGTTGAAATACTAATTTCAGTACTTATTCAAAGTGGATTTTTTATTCACTAAATGATGTAATAAATGGATGTTATTCGTTAAAGAGTCTAGCTCAGAGCAAAACATTTAATTAGGTCTGTTCCTTGAGAATTAGGTAGGTTGGTGAATAGAAGGAAGAGGTAGTCTAGTCTGGGATGGCTTGATTTTTTTTTTAATGCAGGCTAAATCCTTTCTAATTAGCCAAGCAAAGTGTTCTGAGGTCCATGGACAGTTCACTTAAGTTTGGACTAAACTTAGACTAAGAGGTAACTATCTGAGTAGATACATGACTAAGGTGTAACCTTCATTTTGAAAATATATCAAAGGAAAATGTACTTCATATCATATAAATTCTAGTTAGAATCAGCTTTGCTACAAAAACGCTTGAGATGAAAAAAGCAAGTCGACATGAAAAGAAAAAAGATAAGTTACAGAACCATAGATGGCTTCAGCCATTTGGTGTTTAACCAACAGCAGGTGAATCTATAATAAGCATCCTTTATGGAAATTTTACACAACTTATGCTTTCACAGTTCACCTGTTTTTTGTGATCTTTAAGAATTTGGTTATTCTGAATAACCAAACAAATAACACCAAAAGGGCTTAACATTCTGTTCATTACTGTAATCATTTTTCTTTAGAGAAAAAACTTGCACTGGTGCTGTTGAGATTCTTTTCAGTACAAAATAGATACCTTTCTATTCTGTCTATCCACTCTTTGTCTCTTGTTATTTGATGGCTGTTATTTCTCTACATCGGTCCCTTCAAGTCAGCAAAAGATAACTTATATCAAAATACACTCTTCTCATTATTTTTTATCAAAATATGCTGGCCATCATCACTTCTGAGAACTAGTTTAATAGTGTTCATTTTTTTTGGAAAAATATGAAATATGATTTAGTCTTTTTTCCCAAAAAYCTAAATCCCTGGGGAGACAGGCAGAACATTGTCCTGAATGAAAATTGGTCCATTTTATCAAAATCATTGCATAGTGTTTATGGGAGACTGAAGCTGATTCCCACACGCTTGGACAGAACACCTTTATTGACAACTTACTGATACTGTCAGTCTCATTGGAAAAAAAAATACTTCTTTGTGCTAGTCTGCATCTAAAATGCATTTTCAGGTAAGGCTTTCAGAAAGCTGTTTTCCCAGGCCCACTAGGTCTTTCCAGGTGGGTTGTAATGTTGTGACTGTCTGTGCTTTTGGCTTGGGCTGCAGAACTTTTTTGCGCTGGAAGAGTTGTTTGAGTTGGACTTCCTTGTTAAAAAAACATGATGCATTTTTTTAAAAAAAGGATACATTAAAACTATGTGAGTGAGGTTTTTAGTATCTATTTTTTATTGGCTTCAGATGGAAGAGATGACCATTTTTTCTAACAGATATGTGATATACTTTTAACTTAAATGTTACAGAAATAGCATGATTTTCCAGTGTTGTTCAAAGTTGGTTTTATTTTTCTGCAGTGTTTTTACAGCTGCTACTCATGTTACCAGAAATATTTCTCTACTTCACAAGCCTCAAATACCACATCATTTGACTAGTAATCAACATCTGTCTAATTTCAACTGAAGAATAATGCTCTCTTTATATCCTAACGTCAGTAGAACAACATCATGTTATTGTAGATGTCCATTTAGGGCTGCAAAACCCCTTCCTCCACCATGAAGCAGGACAATCTCCACAGCATCGAGACACTACACTTTAATGAGAGCACTAGGGATTAAAGGTGGTAGGTTAATAGGATTAAGTGTTTGGCAGTCTTTGATGTTCCATGTTTTATATTTAATCTTTTCTTCCTAAGCTTGCATTTTCGTTTGTACACTGTGTGTAGAAGTGTTTGAAATGATGACTTTTAGTTTTAGCACTATAATACGTACTTTTAAGATAATACTTTAGGTAAATTTGCTTATTCTGCATTTATGGCCTACTCAGTAATGAGTCAGTGATATTCAGTTAATTTTAAAGTAGTGGACTACATAAATTTCTGTTTCATTTATTACAGAATACTCAGCTCTTTTTCCATAAAAGCTAAAATTTTTTTGGTTAGCAACCATATTCTTACAGCTGTGTTAGGTTCAACAGACTTAAGTTTCTTAAGCTGTGTCGCACTGTTCACTCTTTCATGATGCYACCTCATTTTACAGCTACAACCTTCAAGCTGTTGGGATTAATGCTATGAAAAAGTTCAAGGAGCAAAGAGAATGATTGCATTTTTTCCACACTGAGCCTCATTTTCATGCTCAAATTGCCAAGTTATGCAGTACAATATTTACASAAGTTGGGATATTATTTCTGGAGTTGCATGTTAGTGGAAATGCAATTAAAATCTTATATTCAGAATTGAAAAGTTAGAGAACAAACTAAGATGGATTTTTAAGTCCTCAAAATGCTCACTTGTGTCTTAACCCCAGAATGTCCTCAGGTTTTATTTACGGATCTTACTTAAATTGATAGGTTCTACTCCCAAAAAGTAAATTCAGCAATGCACCAACAAGATTTTCTGAGATAAGATGTTCTCTTGAGATGATTATATAATTTCTAGCTGTTTTTTTGTGATTTATTGGTTAATGTTATCAGGCCTCTGAAAATATTATGGCAACATGAACTTTCAATGACACTAATACAAATATGTTCACAAATTCGTATTCTTAACACTTCTAAAATGCTCTGCTTAGAGCATTAGATACTTAGATGCTCTGCTTCTCCTGGTTGTGTATGCACTTTCGCAGAGAGGGGAGAAGGTCCAGCACATTCTTTAGGTCTATAATTAAGCTCACAATTCTTAGAATTAGATAATGAGCAGCTCCAGCTGTGAGGCTCCCATTATATGGAAAAGTGGTGTCCCACTTTTCTCCAAAGCCATAGAACTCTTCTCAAAAACTATAAAATTATAATATTTATTTGTGCTCAGGACTGGTTAGTTATCTCCATGTCCAGTGTTAATATTTTTTCATTGTATGTTAAAAAAGGCAGCCATAAGACATTTTTTTGATCCTGATAAATACTAATGTGTTATATGGCATTACTTTTTAATTACTTCCATGTTAGGCAGAAGTCCTCTTAAAAAGAACTTCTCCTGAGGTGCAGAAGTGCTCGTCAGAATGCATCTTCCTTTTCTCTTGGCAGATGTTTACCTTGSTGGTGGTAGGGGCTTCCTCATGAGGATCTGCCTCTCTTGGAACAGAAATTTAACCCCCTGACCTTTTTGAGAACGATTCATTTTTTTTCCCTCCCTTCTCCTTCCTTCCTTCAATAAAATCACACTCCTTTAAGGCTAGAAGGCTAGGTAGGAAGATTACCCAGCCAGTGCTCCTTCCTGGATGTGCAGCCCTGTAAGCTCTGCAGAGCTCTTCACTCATTTGTAGTTTTTTTAGCCAGCACCTTGTGGGACCAGATCTCTCTTTCCCTGTCAGCTGAAGTATGAAGACGTACGGAGATGTATGTATGTAAAAATAATTGGAAAAATTCTGAGCAAGAAGAGCTGGACTAACATTCAGYTCCCATAGGTTCTGGTTGATGGGGAGCTGGCACTTCCTTTGTTTATCAATATTTTGGAAGTACAAAGATGTGTAAGTTAAAGTACAGTCTTCAATTTAATCTTCTTAAATCTTAAAAACTTGAGCATGGTGATACTAACAGCAGAAGTTTGGGGTGTGCTACTGCATGCGATCCTGGAGAGCATGATCTGGAAGGATATGTGTATGGCTTCAAAGCTGCCTTGCTAAACCTGCACCAGAGCTGCAGAGCCCTTGTTGCCGTCGAGCTGTGTGATRCAGCAGGATGCCAGTTTTATTCTGCCCCAAACCCAAGAGCAGCCCCAACCCACAGATATGTCACTTCAGTAACAGGAATGAAGTAACTGTTGGCATCAGGGATGGGGGATTTGCCTTTGCTAGCCTGATTAGTGGAGTTTTCTTTTATGCTGAGCAAACAGTCCATTGGTCTTCTCTAGCTCCTTCAGAGGTATTTTGCTGTTTGTGGACAAGATATTGTGTCTAAAATGAATTAATGAATTAATCCAAAAATGCTTAAAGTTGTACATCTAGTGTAGGTGAGAATCTACAGATCTGTCATTTTATGTAACATGTAAAAATGCTTTTCTAAAATGATAAATACTAAACAATTCTTTGATATAAACATTCCTTAGTCAAAGGATTCAATTTACTTAAATGTGAATATTTATGTAAGAGAATGTTTGAGCACTGGGTTCAAATATTCTTTCCAAATCTTTCATTCTACCATCTTCAGAATTTAACTAGAAATTTTAAAAATAGTATATATTTACCATATGTAAAATGTGTCTAAGAAAACTTGCCTTAAAAAGAATGGCCAGAATGCCATCCCTAAGCAATATGGTCATAATGAGTAGCTTGAGTTTCCTCTTGGTTGGAAAGCTATTTGGAAGAATTTCTTGAAGTTTGTTTTTGAAAGACTTTTACTTTATTATATTTAGGAATGCATCAGACTAATATAGTTAAACATGTGTTTAAGCTTTTGAAAGCACTACTTCTGTTTCCCACCTCAAATAGGCCCATGTTTGTAATGCTTGGTGTAGATAACTTTAAAGGAAAAAAAAAAAAAGGCCTAACACAGCCAGATTAAAAAACAATTTAACTGATGGCCACAAACAGAGCTTAGAGTTTGTTATGGCTACAAAGATTTTCTGTCAGGATATAAAAGCAATTAATCAGTATGCAGAAGGTATTGCTTTTCCCCATAGAGATGCTAATTTTGTAATGCTTTGGAAACTCATGTTCTACATTTACTGTTCACACTATGTGGAAGCTAACCAGCCTCAGCTTGAAATCAAAAATGAAATCAAAAGACTAGAGAGCATCACAGTTTCTATACTTATGCGGTCCAATTTTTGAGATCTTTAGTTTGTGTAAGTGGTGCTTACAGAAACAACTTACAACTGCGAGATTGATCAAATATCAGGAAACAGAGTTGTCCTGGAAAGCTCCATTTACACAGAAACTCCATTGCTAGTTTACCAATAGAAAATCAGTGTCTTTACAGATTCTTGCTTGAGTATTTTCCAAAAAAAACCAACAAAAAGCAGATGTAAAGACATTGCAGTGTAGCAGAACAAAGGTCTAGTCTTCCAGTGTATTATCATGGAGGGTTTTGTTACTTGTTTATCCAGAGTTCTGTGCTACAACCAGCTGTGTCACAAATACCTATATACAGAATTCATACATAGCATATACATATTTAGATAAGATCTTGCTTTAACAACTAGAGATGTTGCTAACAAGCCCTTTGAAAGTGCAGATATTTTTCCCTACTTACTCTAAGTTAGAAGCTGATACATAAGATGTCCCTATTAAAAAGAAAAGCAGTTTCAACAATATGTAAACCACATAGTCTTCTGGAAAAGCAAGAACCAGAACAGCTGCTGCTAATATTTTTTCCATAGCCCCCTTTCTCAAAGGACAGTTTGTGGTCATTTTCTTTCAGAATTCTGAGGGCTAAACATATTCCCGTGCAGCCGCGCAGAAGCTCCATGAGCAGCAAGCTGAACCCGCCTGAGCGTCGCARCGCTGCTGGCACTCACCTAGAGCCGAGTCGCAGATGAGCTGCTGCGGGTGGGCAGGGGCGCAGCTGCACGCCCCGGCCCGCTGCGGTGCCTGGCTTGCGAGCAGCAGTGCCGCAAGCAGCAACGCACCCGGTGCACGCTTCATGCTGCCCTGCTAGTCCCTCTGCCGAGAGAAGCCGCTGCCGCAGTGCTCCTGCTTTTGGATCTCAACTCCCAAATAACTCTAATTCCTCTTGTGGGTGCCTCAATTTCAGCAGTCTTAGATGGCTTAGAAAAGCCCTCTAACGCTCACCCTGAGTATAGGCTTATGTTGACTGACGTCTAATTTCCCTGATATAAGACCCTCTTATTTATGGCCCTGAGACTACCTCCTAACTCCGCCTCCCTTTAAGGAAAAAGCACAGCATTGGTGAAAATTACTGTACCAGCAGAGGTACCCATGTACCCATAGTAAGCACGGAGATGTTGCTCTTAGGAGTCAGTATAAGCTATTAATGATCAAAAGCCTTTACAAAAGCATCTTTTGCAAGTGTCTAAAGCTGACTTTTATCTTCAGCAGAGCAGAGTTTTTATCTTTCTCTTCCATTTCGAATTAAAAAGTCTGAATTAAAAACATTATGCATTTAAGGCAAGTAAGCAAAACTGACCTTTTTAAATTTCTTTTAATTTGAAGTCTCTGCATTTATGTGCATGTTTTGAAATGATGGCCCTGCATGCAGGCTGCACAGAACTTCATTTATGCAAAGGAAATGTTTCAGTGCTCTATTTGTGAGCCTTGAGCAATTAGGAATTATCAGGAATAAGGAATTAAAAATAAAAACTGAAAAGCTGTTTTTTTTACTGTTTTATCATAGATATCATTTGAAATTAGAAAACTTGAGAATTAAACAGCAACTTTTCTTTTTCTCCCCTTCCTGATGGAATGAGGAGTTTAGCACTAATAGTTAAAAATAACCTAAACTTGTAGCTAGAAGGTTTCTGAAGCCCAGCATGGAACAATGGAAAACAAAGCAGCCAAACGTGCATACCTGGCAGTGTGGCAGTCCAGGGCCTTGCTGCTTGGAGATGGGGCTTTGACCTGCATCTGCGCTGTCACACAAGCCAACCTAAGTTCTGGTAGGTTTCTCTCTTACTACTTCATGGTACCATCTTAATGAACTGTTACAGGCCAATATCAATGCTTGGCTCAATGCGCTTGGAGCCCCCATGTTTTCAGAGAGGGAGGCCAACCCTTGTGGCTGGCCATACCATTGCACAGCAGTCTACTAATAAATTAACAGTTGGGAGAGGGACAGGTCTTCAAAATAAAGTTTTCTTCTGGTCTTTTGGGAGTGGATGCCTTTTAAACAATGTCACTAAGTATTTCGCAATAATTATGAAGTATGGAAAAAAATAGTTTCTTCCTCAAATAACTTGTTTTTCTGTAGCCAATATAATAGATGTGACTAAAGTAGCTAAACTAAATAGTATTGCAGGTAGTTGCAGTATTATCATCTTACCGTGTTATACTATGGCTATTGGGGGTATCAGCGCTGCTTCTAAATACCTTACGTGCTTTAAGTCCAAATGTAATTTAAAAGGGGGTAAAAACATGATTCAAAAAAACATTTGTGATTGGGAACTGTTTACATCCTGGTGCTTGAAAGGCATCATAATACGTCTCAAAAACTGTGGCCTTGGGAACATCCTCTCATAAAGGCTAGAAAGTGGGTTTTAAACTCAGTTATCAGAGAAGCCAAGTATTGCCTGCAGCTCCTACTGATATCAGCCTGGTTTTGCATGCTTGTTGGCTCTGAACAGTATCRCTAGTTCCTAGCTTGAAGCTGTGCATTCTTATACTGTGTATTGTTGTTCTTTTTCATTGTATCAAGAAAACTAAGTTTAGAGAATTTAAAAGAAACTCTAAAGCTTATCAATAGTTTTTCCTTACAGTCGAGATTTTGATACTGTAAAATATAAAGCTTATTAGTCCAAAAGGACATAGAAATATTCCTTGCTATATTTTTAAACAGCATAATCTTATATCTTAATATAATAGAAACAGTAGCCAACAGTTTTTAATTATGTGCAAACTAAAGTAAAACAAATACTCYATCTTTTTTACTATTTGTATAGGTTGTCTTACAATATAAGCCTCTTTCACTATACTATACTTTTTATAATACGGAGTTTCCTTTGGTTTGGTAAGTAAACCATGATATCATGGCAAATTATGACACAATTCTAATGAAATTTGAAGAGTAGCAGCATTAAATAGCACCCACTCCCTGAAAATACTCTAATACAAATGAGAAATAGAAAACTTCATTTATCAAAGGACATGGCCCCCAAGACCCTCAATTCGTTATTGACACTGGCACTTTCTCATTTCTCTCCAGTTAAATTATCCAGTATCCACTCATTTCTGTTTTCCAGTAAAATACAAAAAAAATGAAGAGGAATATAATTAGTTATATTTACAATTGGATACAGTACAGAAAGAGGGCAGGAAAGCTGGCTACAGTCAGGTTTATAATCAGCTGCATGTCTCTTCAGTGGCATCTCTAACTTTGCACATGATTTCCTGTATTTCTAAAGGAGCCATTTTTGCTTGCTGGTTGCTGTGTTTCTTATTAGTTTTTCATACATGATTTTAACCTTCTGGAAGAAATAAATGGTCATTAATTATAATCATGCTTTCTTTTTCTACTAATGCACCCCAGAGACCTGCATGAGAGAAAAAAAAAAAACACCTAGATGTGCTGCTATTAAACGTTACAGGTGCACAGACTCGTGCGTAGTGACCATTGCTTTGTTTGAACTCCAGAGCCAAGTCACCCTGTCTTTCCAGTATCTTCTCTCTTCTTTGGGGGAAGGGTGGCATGAATGGTGTGGGATTAACGTCAGAGCTGGCACTGGGAGAGGCCACGTTGTCGCTTCACTTCCCCCATTTTCCCATCTATCCATCCCCTCTTCTGCCTTCTCTTCCATCTCTGCTCAGAATATTGACAGGATACTCCTCCAGCAGCACTGACTCTTGCTGACCAGCTCTTCTTCTCTGTACCTCTTAGCTTTTGTTATGAGGCTGTGCTGTGCGGGTTGTATGGCACTGATCATGAGAATTTCTTTGAGCAGCATTGAATTTGATATCTTGAGCTAGGTCGAGGGCTTGCAAGTTGCCCACAGGGCTTTTCCAGAGTCACACTGGTAATAAGGGAGAGAATAAGGAGGTGCAGCAGAGAGATGGCTCTTCCTTTCAGATGGCAGCTTGTTCTGTGTACCTTAGCTCCTGACAGCTTGCAGCGTATGTTTTTTTTCCATCTACTCCTATTGTTTTCTCTCTATAATGAATTATATTTTAGAATGATTGCAGGCAGGATTCTCTGCAGTAATACTCTATCTGTTGCTTCTTGGATGCTTTACCACATGTTCTGGTGTTCTCTCTAGTATTCATTTTGTGTTGTGTTTATTTTTCCTAAAAACTGCTTTCAGTTTGTCTGGTATGGCTTTAGTATACATTCCATACAAAAATTGAATAATTGTCTAGAAAATTCAAACTTAAAGTAGTGTTTCACAAAACATATGAGCYGTTCATGGATTTTAAAAAACAGTACTTTTGTAAGTGCTATAGCCTATTTCAGAAGGAATGGAAATTAAGGAAAGAAATAATTCCTTTATTATAATAATAATAAATAATATAAATAATATAATTATATTATATAATAATAAAATAAGGAAAGGAAGGAAAGGAATTTAGTTCTCACTTCCTAAATACCATAATAAAAAACCTATAAACTATGTGGTCACAGCAATTTGGTCACAGTATTTGATGATAAAGTGTCTTGTTTTAGAAGCAGCACTTTTCAAATTTTGCCAATTATTTTCATGGAATGATTGTGAGAAACCAGAATCAAGATACAACTTGCATCTGCAAAGGTTTTTATTTTCAAAAATTTCTATTACAGATTTGTTGGAACTGTTCTGATTTGCTGCCATTATACTAACTGKTTTTTTGTTTGTGGTGATTTCTGTTCTCACACTGTACAGATATTAAAAGTGTAAGAAAAAAAGAAGACTTTTCTACGATTGCGTTGCTATGTCACTTATATATTGATTTAGATAGCTTCTTTCTTGAATAGTATTTATGGAAACAAACATGTTTTTGATTGGATTCTTGGTTCAGGTTAATAGGTAGTGCCGCATTCATGTAAGTGATGTGAGTGGCCCTGGGAGCCAGTGTTGCATCTCTGCCCTTGAGAGGGCCTGCATTCCCAGGGTCCCATCTGTATCACACTTGCTTGTTTTAATAGTCCTCTGAACCCAGAGGTTTCAGACATGCAGCTGATTATAAACCCCTGTTTTGAATCAAGGCATCACAGCAAAACTCTGGTTTCTCTTTGACCTTGCCAAGTAGTCAAATTCAGGCTTTTTTCCTGCCCTCGACCTTTAGCTTTCTTTTGTGCCCGTATTTCTTGCCACTGGATACTACAACCATTTTGGACTTTCCCTGGGCTTGCAACTTGTGTCTGACGGACAAAAAAAAGTTCCTCCGTGCAGAGGGGATACAACATCTACTTTGTTCTCCCAATATGCAAAATCAGGGGGAAATGGGGCTCCGTGTTGCTGAACTGCTCCTTGTTGAGAATAAGAAGAGCCTAAGTTCCTGCTTAGAGACGTGCAGTCTGTGGAGCTACCTCTGCTGGAAAGCGAATGCTCCTGCACCCTGCCACCCCCAGCTCCCGTCTTGCACTGTATTTTCTTAAAACCAAAGAGAGCAGAGAAAGGCCACCAAGAAGAGGCTTGTTTATTGATTCAGGGCTCTTCCTGCCTGCTTCTGGGAAGGAAGAAAATGAATAAAAAGCCACCTTCCTTATTTCACTTTTAGTTTCCCTTTCCCAAAGTAAGCTGGGCAAAATTAGATGGTCTGATGCATAGTCCACAAATAAATTATATGGAACTGGAGTGGTTAAATGAACTTTTCTTGGGGATTTTTGGAAAGATAAATATTTAAACACTGAGTCTGAGGTAAGTCATGTTTATGAAATCTTTTTTGTGTGTATGTGTATGTACTGGTTCTTTTTTTTTTTGCTTTCTTCCCCCTGCCCCATATTGTGGCTTTTCTAGTCAGCATTGAAGCCAATGTGAATACCACCTTCCAAAATGTCTGTTCTCTCCTTTTCTTTTTTTTTTAGTTTTTTAGTAGATGACCTTTGCTTAGTTTTATTTTTATATAGGATATGGTTACATTTTATGATATATCTTAACTATAACAATTTAAATTACATTTACAAGGATTAGGGCTACCTGCAAAATATATGTAGCTATAAACACTCTTTGAAAATACTTTAATTTCAGAAGAATTTACTAACATTTTAGTATTTAATGTATAAATCTCAATTTTATAGGATTCATCTTAACATAGTTAAAGCGGCAGTATAACTGGGTGACACGGTAGTAATTTGTAAACTCTGAAACTCACCAACTTCATAAACTATGCAAACGCATAAACTTCTGAAAATGCCTGRAAGGGAAAAGGCCGTGACACAGATCAAGACTGTGCATTCATTCTACTGGTCGATTAAATAACCTTCGCACTAGCGATACTGAAGATAATAGTGATAGGTAACTGCTAGATTAATATCTCAAACTAGAGTATTTAATTTTGCAGTTGAAAACATTGTACATACTGATCTAGAAATCACTGTGTGGCCAGATAATTAAAGATTAATGCAATAAAATGAGTAGAATTCAGATGGATTCATCTGTCTTATCTTTGTATGCTCATGTTGTAAAGACCGCAATGGTAGCAACCGTACATGCTGTCAAAGCCAGTGAGAGGGTCAGTAAGTTAACAGATTTTCCTAGATGTTCATGCACAGCTACGTAGGAGAGAGAAGTCTAAGGTACCTTACCTATGTAAGGTAACTATATTGCTACTGGGTGTCTTTCATGTGTGTAATTTATAGCCTGTGGGTTAGGTTGGTCAAATATCTGAAGGATCTGTGATGATCAGAATTCAGCAACAGCATCTCATTTTCAAGCTGTTTAAGAGTAAATGGGCTTCATAACTAAACAGAAGAAAAAAATGGGAGTGTGTTTAATTGTATTTTATACAGAAAGCTCTGTGCAGTGTTACTATGTGGAAAGAATGCCTCATTTCATCACTGGTTCTCTCAAGATACATATACATTCAGGAATCTCGCTATATAGATGGGGGTGGCATTCCAGTCACTGAACCAGCACAGGACTCAGTGTATATGTTGTATAATGTAAAAGTCAAGCTCTGAATTAGACAACTCCTTCCAAATTTATTAGGATAAAACCATATAAAATCCTGCAGCAAGCTCAGACTCTATTCACAGGAGAAAAAAAAAAAAAAAAAACCCCATAGTAGGATTTCTGACTAGAGCTTTGGGTTGGCTCAACTTTAGAAAAGAATAAACTAAACAAAGCAGAAATAGGGTTGTAACAAGGGAATGTCAAGTCTCTGACTCTGCTGCACAAATCCTAAAGAGTGAATCTATCTTCATGACTTAATAGTGTTGCCATCTGCCTCTAGTTACAATGTATGTTTTGTTTCTTTTTAAAACAGAAGTTTATTTTGTCAGGTTCACTGGAAGGACATGACTCGTGGATGTGTTCAAGTATCAGGATTCTTTTTTCTGCTGCTGCACTGGCAGTATAATGTGCAGTATAAAACTTTCTGTATTAAATTTCGGGTTGGTTATATATTGTGGGTCAGGGAATACACCCAGATTTTTTGAATAATGGTAATGACTACCTTTATAAATACTCTGTGTATGACTGAAGAAAATGATCTTCCAGAAAAAAAAAAAAAAAGGGGGGGTGGGGGATTTCCTTCCTTTTTCATATGGAGATCTTTAATATTTAYAGTTGATCTCTAGTTCCCTAAGTATGGTCAGTTTTGTTGTATGTTCATCTGGCAGTAATTCCTGAAATGGCTTGAATTTTCAATGCTTTCTTATTTGTTCAGTATAATTATTAAGTCGCCTAACAACAAAGTTTGGCCAGCCTAAAGTCATTTATGAAACCACCATATTGTATTGAAAATATTTTGACATATATCATTATATATTATATTAGACTATACAGTATGATGTTGCAGGTTTTAGGTATTTGAAATACTGAACAGTAACTAATGATTTGAACCAGATTTTTATTTGGACATAATTTGCTAACATGGAAAAGGAGTGTTTGAAATATAAAATTACATTAAGTGAAGAGTGAAAAGCCAAAATATTTCAAACTTTAATGAAGATTTGATAACTTACCGGTCCCCATACCAGCAGCTTCAAAAGCTTTGTGGTCTCAAGCTGGCTAATCCAGTAGATGTCATGACCTGACTGTGAGACGTAACAACATGAGAAACTTGTGTCTCTGCTGTAGTTCGAAAGTATTTGCTTTGAATTCATGCCTGCCTTAATTAGTGCTTGTTCAGCATTTGCAGAATATTGAGTCAACTTTCTCCTGAGTTTAGAGGCTAAATTGGTGTTTCTCCAAATTGGGATGGTTGTTCATCTGCTGGAAATTGAAGTAGTTTTACTGCAACTGTTATTATTTTTCTCATTGCCTGTCAGGAGTATGGGAGACAAAAAGAGCAAAAAAAAAAAAAAAAATCTATGTTGTAAGTTTATTCTGTTCTATCTTTGCTGTTATCAAACCAGTATGAATAGTTCTGGTAACAGATGAATTAAAAATCTGTGACTTGGAGATGTTGAGGGGTTGCTGTCCACACTATTATCAGTAATGTGGAAGAATTATACTACAGCTACTGCAACAGTTTAAAAAGATGAGTTTAAAATAAAAATATGAGTCTCCAGGTATACTGGCCTGTAAACATGGTGAGCTTGTGGAGTCCAGATCCCAGGGCACTTAAAGGCAATGAAACTCCAGTTTGAGGCAGCTGCCTTCAATCTGTGGATTTCCACTGCAAATCTGTGATTAAAAGATCCAATGTAGTTATTGCRGAAAGATCACTCCTCTCCGGATTAGGCCAGTTAACCTCAAATGCATTCATGTAGAAAGATAAGAATGAGGCCATTACAGAATCAATTTTAGTGACATTCATACAGCATTAAGAGAACTATTTGCATTACTTTGAAAATGATAAACTGTAGGTATGTAAGATAAAGTAATGGTAAGTAGTTAAATGGCATCTAAATGAGAAAAAAAACTACTAATAGCTATTTGGATAGTTATGTTGTTAAAAACATGGAAGTTTTTTTCAGATAGAGCATTACCATCAGACTTTAAACCCATAGATGCTCTAATATTTCCATTATGGGTTTAATCACTTGCAATATTGAATCCCCTTTACTCATTTGTCTTCGAATCCTTCTGCAGCATAGTTAACCAAGGCCAGGTTAGACTTCTGAAAATGGACAGGTGGCTCTTCTGCCAAGGAGTTTTTGAGTATTATTGCAATACTCATTAAAACTCATGTCAAATGTGAATGAGCCCTGTGGTAGCAACCATTAGATTTGTCTGGTCATGAAGTATATAATCTTATTTTTGCTAAGTGACAGAAACTTATGAGTCATTTCAGAAAGAAATCTTCAATATAAAATGTTTTTCTATTTGAAATTTAGGARCCCAGGCTTCTTTTACATAGATTTTAAAAAGATTCTGTTTCCAAAAATGCTTTACTCTTTATCTGCACAACATAATGCAGTTTTGACCCCAGGTGAACGTGTCTTCAAGTTCACAGATCAGAGTTTCTACCAGGTGGCTGTTGGTTTGTTTTGCAAGCCACAGTGTCCAGCACCGCCCTCCTCATGGCACAAGCGCCTGGCAGGGGGCTCAGGGCAAAGGATCCCAGATGCCTCACTGGGCTCCTGCCTTTTCCCAGGAGAATCGAAGAGCTGCTTTTTATATATGATTGAGTATGCACACGCACGCAAACATATGCATATTTCTGTGTATGTGTGTACATGTGTATGAGTTTGTGTTAGTTCCTGTGGTCTCCAGACAATTCCAGGGCTCTGGACTCATGGGAAGATCCATGGTGCTTCTAATTACAGGAGTGCCATTTCTGTTGCTCTGGTTAGAGGCCTGCCAGCATWGCCATTAAACTCCTCTTTCATTGGTTTATAGTTGAATCACAAAAATGTGCTGCTGTCCTTATGCAGCTTGAGTCAGGCTATGATTTGTTTCCCCGCTCTCCATCTCAAAACTGAAACAAAAAAAAAGCTAATTTTAAAATATAAAAGCACAAAAAAAAAAAAGTAACTAGATGTTATCTCCACTTTGTATTCCTACAGTTTAAAGAGAAGTCAATTTTTTAATTGCAGAATAGCTGACCTTTATTACATGGTGCTTTTGCAAATTATTTTTGTTATTTTGAAACTGATCAAAATTTTTAATGGTTAAGTTTTTCAACTTAGACTGAAATAGCTCAATAGAATATTAAATATGTTTTGGACCAAAGGCCCTCTCTTGATATGGTTCCTTTAAAAATGCCAACTGGAATTCAAGTATTAAAATCTCAGAGAACTCAATGAAAAAAAAAAGCGTATCTTCCATCTGACACTGAAAAACTGCCTTATTATTGCCGTGAAACGCCTACCTTAAACATATACCTTAAGCTTTTAAGAGACAGTAGAGTCAACAGTGAAGACAGAATTGTTCAGTGCTTTCCCAAAACAAGATCTATCTAAATAATGGCAAATACTTCCTTTTAATATTTTTTCACTAGAKGGTTTTTTCTATGAGTCCTAGAATAAGTTTAAAAAATAGATATGCTGTGCACATCACTGATCCAAAGACCTCTTTTCTGGTATGGCTCTGCAATAAAAAAAACAAAACCATGTCAAACTTTTTCCAGGAAACACTTAAATTTTGTTGAAATTGAACCTAAAATAAGCAGTGTTACTTGTAATTTTACTGTCAACTGAGATACTGTAAGTTGAGTAATTTGCAACATATCCTGGTTTGGTATAAGTAACATTTAGGTTTAAAGTGGCTGTCCGAACAATTTGTGGATACCTGTATGAATACCTGTGCGGGGAGAACAGCCTCAGCAGGACTCTGTGGTCGTGTTTAGAGTAGAGGCAAAATGTCATGCAAGAAAGAGGAATGTAGCAGTGCAAATATTGTGTCCTTTTTCTCACATCAATTTGATACAGTGCGGGTCTGATTTAAGATACTGGAAGAAAGGCCTTTGAATTTTGTGTGATTGTGGGGAAAAAAAACTTGCTGAAGTGATCTGTATTAATTATCTAACCCACGATTATCATCCCTAATATTTTTTTCTTTTCTTTTTCCTCTCTTAGCTGACAATGCCAACGTTTCCTGTTGTTGTGAAGATTGGACATGCTCATTCAGGCATGGGAAAGGTGCAGACACTGTTGCATGCTAGGAGCTTGGTTGTTTCTCTAAAATAAGATGCTTTTTTTTTTTTTTTTTTTTACTTGCTGGTTATTTTAACTTCTCATCTGAATTCTGTCTTAGCTACCTGTCCTTGCAACCTGCTGCTTATTTTTATTCAAGAAAGTACCCCTATTTACGAAAACACTTAGAACAGCTGTGTATATATTCAAGCAGTTAATATATTATCTTACACAGGGATAGTTTTAAGGACATGTGGAGATGCTTTCTGAAACAAGAACTTTATTTGTTAATTTAACTGACTTCAGTAAAACTAATTAAGCATCAAGGTGTCTTTGCACAGTCCAGCTTTGTGGGCCTGGAAGTCTAGGAAGTTTTGCTGATGTTCCCTCCTAGTTTCAGCTTGATCAAGATTTTTTATTGATTTCCTGTCATAATGTATTCTCTATGGTCATTTCATACCACTACATAACTGCTGCTTGCTTTTTCCAAAGTAATGAGTGTGGTGAGCACAGTCATTTTGGTGGTATTTATCTCACAATGTTAGTTCAAGGGACAGGATTTAAACCTCACTTTCACTGATACCAATTAAAATTGTAGCTGTTACAAATTAAGTACTCTCTCTCTGGAAACACTTCAGAACCTTGTAAGTGTTTTGAATTAGTAAATGTCATCAGATGATAATATTTATCATCATGAATCTTGAAAAGTTCCATGAACATAAAATTTGCCACTAGGCAGTAGAAAACTAATTTAATTGCACTTTATTCAAAAATTTTATTCTATGTTATGTTCTTTTGCCTATGATTCTGTTTTAATTAGTCCTGAGTAAGTCAGTAGGAATTTGGCAGCCAACTTAATTGAAACCAGAATTAGTCAGTGATCACTTAAACTGTAATTTTGTGGACTGCATAATTGCAAGAATTGGAAACTGTTTTCTTTGTAAACTTTGAATATTAACATATCATTTATAGTAAAGGAAGATAATATACATAGGTGTTCAGTATATCAAATGTACCCCAAAAATTCTAGATACTCCTGAATATAAAATACCTTCAATCCCTAGAAACTAAATGCCAGCCGTTTGTATTGAAACACTGAATGTCTGAGTAAGCACACGTTTTCTCCTACACCTGTCCTGCTTAAAGACATTACTAGCAGGAGTGTGTTTGCTTTTGTCAAATTAGAGCAGTGTGTACTGCTAGGCTTTCAGAAAGTGAATTGAGACCAGTGCTTGGGTCTGGTTTTGTGGCTCTCAGATGGCAAATTATGCTGTACTTGTCTGAGAGTTGAGAGGCCTTCTCGTGCCTTCACCTCCATGGGATGTGCGCGTCCTGCTCCACAGCTCCTCACATCCGGGCATCTGGTGACAGTGGAAGCAAACAGGACACTGACCTTGCACACTGCTGCAAGAATTTCCAATATTTGGTAGCATGACAAGTACTAATCCCTGTCTTCTTTAATTGCCTTTCCGAAAGGAGCTTGGGGTCAACATCTTGTCAGAATTCCAGTTTCCCTCTCCCATTTTCTATCAGACCTCTCTTCCCTCAGTTTTTCCCTGTATTAGTCAACTTCCTTTGACTCAACTGAAATTGCCAGAAATGTGCCCTCCCTGCTCGCAAGTAAATGCCAATCTCTCTCTCTAAGGTTTCCTTCTCTTTTCCCTGCCAAATCAATATTTTCCACTTTTCCACCACCATCTTTAAGACATGAAAGTTTGGTAGTCTTAATTCCTATCAACAATTGCTTACCTCTCTATTTTGCATCCAGGAAGGTCTGATCCTGGAAAACCTGACGACTCGCAGAGCACTTGACAAAACTGGGAAAAACTGGCTGTACCGTCCTGAGCCAACTCTCTGTGCTCAGTGTGACCAGGCAGTTGTCATGATGTCACGATTCTTCCTCCTGGGAGGTGCATGACAGATTGGATAGTATATGGTTGGCTCCGTAGATGATTTAATTTACATGTCTGGTCTAGTAAATCAACAAGAGTTCTATGTGGATTAAAACAGAATGAAATACCACTGTCTTGAAATTGCTTTCTACAGCAGAATAGGCTTTTTTCTTTTCCTTTAAAAAATAGATATTTTAATACAGGTTTTTTGGATTATTTTTCTGGATAGAATCTAGAAATTAAATAAAATATCCAGTTCTTTAAATGAATGCTATCAAAACCCATATGTCTCATGAATGCTCTTTGCAACTGAATTCTGCCTTTTACTCCTAACTGTTGTTTTTTTTTCTTGTATATGCTGTTTACTTTTGTTACGGTGACTACAGATCAAGGTAGACAACCACTACGATTTTCAGGACATAGCCAGCGTGGTAGCGCTTACTCAGACCTACGCCACTACTGAACCCTTCATAGACTCCAAATACGACATCAGGATCCAAAAGATAGGCAGTAACTACAAAGCATACATGTGAGCTAAAAACTTGTCTTTTTTCATCCTTTTATTTCAAAATTGATAAGCATCAGCAAGATTAAGACTGTTAGATGAGTCTCTGAATTGAAATGTGATGTCTGCATGTCATGCTCTTTGGAAAGAAGGTATTTCAGACATGTCAGATTTTCCAGGTTTATCAAGTTTTTCTTTAAGTTGATTGTCATTGGGAGAATAAAACAACAGGTAAGCCTGCCACAAGAGTTTTCCTGCTAACATTTCTTCATATATTCTTATAAAGAAATGAGCAGTTGGAAGGGAAGTTTCTTTGAACAGAGGAGCTTATTAAATGTCTTTTTTTTCTTTTGCCCACTTTGGTCAAATTTTCTTTTCCCTCTGAAGATATTTAGATAGCATTCATTCATACAAACCTGAATGATAACCTTACACAAATGGAAGAAAGTACTCTTACTGTAACAGGTGTAAGAAAAATTCTAATCATACATTGCCCTTCACATATTTGGATGAAAATCTGTTTTAGAAGAGCTGTTCGATACGTTGGCACATACTTGTTAAGAGATACTGTACCAGAAACCTAATGGGTATTTCAGAAACAACTTTAAACAGAGCAACAAGACAGATTATTGTGTATCCGTTGAGTTTGGTAACTGTCTTTCTGCACACTTTTACCCTGTTACAATGATCCAACAGTGTAACTTGGTATAGACTCCGTTTATGTTTAACATGAGTCAGAGCAGTTCATATACTTGTCCCTTCATGGTTGTAGTTCTCATGCAAGAAAAATACTCTCTCTCTCCCCCCTCCAAGGACTCCTGCAACACTGAAGACAAAAGAGATTTCTTGTATGTTGACATTAGAATAGAAAACAGTAAAATAAAGTCAGATTCTTTATCAGTAAACATTATTGAACTCCAAGCAACCCATAAGTATTAAGACGCAGAAGTGAGAACTGGTTTAAAAATGCATTAAATGTTTTTACGTATCAAGCATAGAATAAGCAGTAGGTTTCAAGTAATTTAGAAACAGAAAGCAAGATCTATTAGGAATGTGGAACCCTTTGCCTAGGGGTGTAAACCTCTGAAAGTTCCTAGCTTTTTCCCCTGCCTGGAGAATCCATCCTACTTTTTTCCACAAATTGCCATACTCTTGCTCTCTAAAGTTCCAGCTCTCTTGTCAGTCCGAGCCATATCTTGGTCCCAGTCCCACCTCTTTAATCTGAACATTTCTACCGTTCAGTTTTCTACCCTCTTGTATCCTACCCTCATTCCCTTTCCCTTTTACTCTGCACTCAGTCCTATTTGATAGCCTTGTTCTCCCTCTACTTGCAGTTACTACATCTCTGTTTCTGTATCTGTGACCATTTGATACAACTATTTAAGACTCTTCAAGTCTAATGTTAAGATTTTCTGTCCAGTTGGTATTTTGGTAGGCAAATTTCTTGTGTATTACTCTCCCTTCCCCTGTTTAGAATATACAGTTGCTTTGTGTCTCTTACAGCTCCCCGTTAGTGGTTATTACACATTTTAAGATACCCGCAGAGACACATACTGTATTTGTTCAGTAGCTTGGTTGTCCAGAACATTGCATTTCATAGGGCAGGGCCCTATACTTAAAATCTGAATTCAGTTCAATCTTTAAAATAACATTTGTAAGATTCAGACATGGTAATTCAGACATTTTTTAAGCATAAATGTTTCTTCTTTCTAGAAGAAGCAGTTAGCCTAAAAGACAGCAAAGATAAGTTAAAATGACAGAGCGTTCTTCCTAATTTCTACTGCTTTTTAAGGTTGTATTCCCTAAAAACTAAGGATTCATACAAATACTGAAAGTCTATCAACCTTTTTTTCTCTAGATTCTTTCATACAGTTGTTACACACAAAAAAGAAAGTTATTCATTGTTATAAAGCATCATAAAAGAGAATATTTACCAAATGTAAATTTTTTCTTTTTTTACATTATGTCAATAGTATATTGTCTTACAGCTGGTTCTCATTTTCTTCTGTTACACAGGAACAGAGTACTTAAAGTTACCACAAGAAAAGTACCAGCTGAACATTTATTTCTGTAGTTTAAAGAGAGTTATTAAGAGCCTCAGTTTTATAAATCTGTGGGAAATTGTGGTATGAGTGGATCCACGATTCCTGAAACACTGGTGCTTGCCATCTGTCAGTAGAGATTATAGCCAAAAGGCAACATTGGATCCCCCTAAATACTATGACTCCTCAGAAATGCTTAACTAGTACTACTAGTACTGTTACAGAATTCACATGACTTCAAGGAAATAAAGTTAAAAGGGTCTAACACAAAAAAATAAAGAGAAATTCCTTTCTATGTCTAAAATCAATACATTGAATCCATAACTGTGCACCAAAGTTCAAGAAACAGAAGCACAGCACTACATGAACCGCATCTACCTTGCACATGGACAGGCTACCATTACAAGAAGTATAGGTAACTGTTTCTACATTTTTTTTCTGGTGAGAAGTCACTTAACATAGAATTTGCATCAATTTCTTTAAAATGATGTGTTACAAAACAGAAGGTGTTGGAAAGGGACAAGCACAAGTTGCTTAGAATTGTTTATGCTGATTACAGATTTTTCCCCATCTCCCAGTTTCAATGCATTTCTTCATATATTACAAAAAACAACTCAAGTGAGAACATCTCAAGCCTGAACGTCATGCAGTCAGACAGTCTAGGAGATATTTTCTGTAGTATTTAATTATTATTTAGTAGAAGAAGAGAAAATAATGATGAAAAAACACATTTAGCACTTATCAGAACACAAGCACAGAAGTGTGTTTGTGTGGTGGGGGTGGAATCTAAATGTTGCCATAGAGGAAATCATACATGAATCATATATGAATGACCAGAATTGTGTCTAAGTTTAAAAGGCCAGAATGTCAGTTTGGTATTCTGCACAGTGTAACCAAACAGCTCTGCTGTTCTAGAGACTTTCCTTGTGGCTCCACCGCACAAGCTCCATCTTGGCGTTTAAGAGAATGAAACTATAAACAAGAGTGGGCRTGTGAGGAGCTTGGTGATCCCCCAGCTCAGTGTGTGTCCCCAGCACCCCAGGTGGCCCCAAGGGGGCCCTACAGTCACACAGCAGGTCTTGAYTCTGCTTCAGATTCAACAGGGAACAGGGCTTAATAATAAGTTGCTCTGAAAGGGGACACATGGAAATAAGTACTGCTTGAAAAAGTGAAACTGAAATCACAAAATAGCCTTATTCCTGAGAAGTGTTGCCTTGCATCCGCAACTCAGTACACATATTCCCTTTTCACTAGTTTCTCCCACATTCACAAAGAATATGCTGCCTTAGAAGGGCTTTATGCTTCATGTTCAACTGTAAAAGACTCTTATAGAAAGGTCAACATTCACCCACAATTGCTATTGACCCTTGCAATTAGATTAATAGAAAGATGAGGAGAATACAGTACTTCTGCCTGATATACTTTTAATAAATTTACTATTAATTTACTGTTAATTTACTGTCTGGAAGTAGTTTATAGTTTGTGTCYTTAGCTTATTCCCAGTGGAGTATTTCAGTTAAGAAAACAATAATCTTTTCAGCCCTAGTAACAGTCCTAAAGTCTTGAGCGGGGAGGGAGGGAGGCGGGGGGAAGCTTTATGTGGAAAAAAATCTTAGCAATAAAAGAGGTAATTCTGAGTATGGAAATAAAACTGTTTAGATTATATGAGGAAACTAGAAAAGAAGGAAACTTGGATGAGAATCTAAAATACAACTCTAAAACAGGTTCTTGGATCACACTTAAACTTTGGAGTTCTATGGATCTAAAATGAGAACCTATAGCATATAAAGTAGGAATGTAAGTTATTTAATTAGTTTCCAACTGATAACTTCTTATTTCTAGCACTTTTGCATTTAAAAAAAACTTAAATGAACACAACTTTCACAGCATTGTCATACTTCTTACCATTCCTGCACACCTGCGGTGCGGTGAGTGTTACTGCCAATTGTGATGCTTGGTTAGATTTCATCTTTTAAGATGATTTTTTAATAATAAACTGTGAGATAGGAAAAAGATGTAAATACTTTTACGTCATATAACAGTAAAAATCAGGAAACTTTAAGAAAAAGTGAAGATATAAAAACATTGTCTGTCTCTTGTAATATTTCCCCCCTTTCAGGAGGACTTCCATATCCGGCAACTGGAAGACAAACACGGGCTCGGCAATGCTGGAACAAATTGCTATGTCAGATAAGTAAGTTAAGGCTCATGCATCACACTGCTGATTTGTAACTCATGGTAAATGAATGCCCCTAGTTCATTTTGGTAAAAACCTTTGAATTAGGTGAAAGAAATGAGCCAGGACTTTCCAAGTGAAGTTGTCCTAGGGTTAAGTACCCAAATTAAGTACTAGATGTAGGTGCTTTAAGTGAACATTTGAGTTCTTAAATCAACTGTGTATCTAGAAGACTACTGGCATTTTCTCCAGATAATCCCATGATCCCATTTTTCAGCTTCAACCTTCAGTCATTTTCACTGGTTCATATGTAGTGCTCTTCCTTTCCCCCACCTTGCCATGCTGTTTGTAACCATTCTTCTTCTATCTTGAAACTAAGCAATGTGTCTGATTGAACTGCTGTCTCTTCACATTTGAAATTTCTACTTAACTGAGATTTTTAGTCCAAATGCTGGGATATACTGAGGCTTATTTCCCTCACGCCATCATTTCAGCTCTGTACTTTGGCTTATTCTGCTTTTCTTTATTCTCTTTCCAGCTTGTACTGGTTATGTTTTTGCAATCCAGCCAGTTATATTCTCCTTGCAGTGCCATATTGAAGCTTGAGTCTACAACAACTGACCTGTCAGTATTGCTCATTTGCACCAAGTTCCTCCACAGTACCTGGACCTCTCCTGCAAAAGAAAGTTTTGACACTCTTCTATGGCTATGAATTTTCTCTTGTTCAGTTTCTTCAAAGATTTTTCCCTGTGGAAACTGAAAATACTCTATATCATAAAAGTGTCATTCAAAAGGATTTTAAGTTCAAAAAAATGGTTCATTTTCAGTAGTAGGTTTTTTTTTCGGTGTTTGAAAGTCTGGAACTTACAACAACTTCGTCCTTCTTAAGAGAGACCCAGGACCTGCACGAAACTCTGAGGAATTAGAACTCCCTGCTCCCCAGCCCATTCTGTCTAAACTGTGTCCTCATGGATCTTSCCTTGGTGGACAGAGTGGAGCTACATTATTTTCTCATTCTTATTCCCCTCCCACCTTCCTTGAGAAAGTGAGGTTATGCCTTCACTGAGGGGGGAAAAAAAGAACATTTTTTTAGTGTGTATAATTATGGTCCATGAAATATTTACAGGCTCTTTAGTTTTGCTGTAAGGCAAACTAAACAAAATCAASTATAGGCATGAGTGTAAAATGTTAACCTTGCGTGGCTACCTCACTTTGTGTTTCCACTTTTGAAAGTAAGACAATTAAAGCATAATATATTTTTTCCCATAAAAATATACTAACCCRTAAAAATAGTACTAACCAAGAAATACAGATCTTCTAGGCTGATGAAGGCAAAAGCGTAGAAAACGTTCATTTCTCCTCGTTGCAGAAACGGGTATGCATTATATGGTCATATTTGATTATGCTCCAAAATGTGCATGATTTCATGATTTAAGAAATTTTTTTCATGATTTAAGAAAAAGCGTTTTGCAAGCTTAGCACTGTTGGAGTTGACTGAATAGAAATCTTAAGTCTAGAAATGCTGAAAAGAAGAATAATATGCAGCACTACGAGGCGGTGGCTAAGCAGACAAATGCACTTCAGCATTACATTTCTCTTATTGTCTCCTCCATTTCAGACAGGCCGTTAGTGGTAGGATCAGAAGGTTCAGACCTATTCTAGTTGTGCAGACCTCGCTTGGCACCCCAGTTGCTCAGGTCCAGCCCCCCAAAGCACCACACTGAGTGCTCAGTCAGTTCTGAGGGTGCTGAGCACTGTATGGGCTCTGGGAGAACTGTGACCTCAGGCCAAACCTACTGTGTAAGACTTAGGTTTCAAACACAACAGGCTGGTCCAGCCAAGACCTTTCTTTCCGAATGTAAATGTAATTTTTCTGCTCTGTGCTAAGATATACTTTGGTATTTTGTGCCAGAAAAGGTCATTTGTAAGCAAGGAGTGCATGCAAGCAGTCCAATCAGTTGATGCATCTACAGATGTTGAAATTGTCAGGCATCCAAAGAAATCTCTCTTTTTGGACAAAAAGAATTTTTCTCATAGGAAAAAAAATTCTTTGCTAAAATGTTACGATCAGATTTTTTTTCAAACCATTCTATCCATTTCCATACCCTCTGCTTTTTTTTTTCCACTGAAACAGACTTGATGTAAAGAAAAATACAACACAGGAACTAAGAAGTATACTTGGAAAGGATGCTATTCCTAAAGATACATGTATGTGAATAAGAGCTTTATTCCTTACAGACTAGCTAGTAGTTTCCTTTAATCCTTTGACTGTGAGGTCAAATGCTGTTTTTATTATGTCTTTTTTTTTGTCAATGGAAAATACTATCATGTGGCAAATTTATTATCATGGCTCAAAATTTGGATCAAGAAGGAGCAGGATGTGGTCTGCAAAAGAAAATAGCTGTCACTAAGTTAAAATAGTAAATCAAGAAATATGATAAATATCTGCTTTAAACTGTTTTGTGGTGGTGGTAGTGATGGGGGGTTGTTTGTTTTTAGGAAAATGACTTCAGTAGGTAAAACTGTTGTATCTGGCTATATAACCTCTTTCAAGATCATATCGTTACTTAGCTGCTGCATAGGCATAGCTATGCTATTAGTTAATGAAAGTTCTTCGTGTGATTTTGTGTCTAAGAGCCAGTGTCGTCACTGAACAAACATACAGCTTGCATCACCTCAGTGAGCTCTCAGTGAAGTATTTTGGCTCCCTTTTTATGTCACTGACAACTCTCTATTTGATCRCAGGAACTGCCTCACTCTTTTTCTAATAAATCCCGCCTCGTTCCCATGTTAGTCAGATAATCTATCCACAGGATGGTCTATTCCTTGCAAGGAAAGTAAATCACAGTACTGCTTGTCCCTTCCTCTATCCATATTTCTTACCATGATTTTAGAAATGAAATGCAAGTGCTAATACGCTCAGTACTGTATGAAAGACTATCCTTTTTGTAAGATTGGTAAGCATTCTTCATCATTCTTAACAGCTTCTCTTGAATTTTAGTGTAATTGTCTGTAGCCCAACGTGAAAAATACTRTGCTTAGCTGCGAGCTGCCCAACTTTTAAATGTGTCCTGCAGCTGTTTCTCTTGTACCATCGTGACGGTTGTTTTGTCTCGTTCTTTCTTTTGACTTGTTCAGTGATGTATTTACAAAGCAATCAGTGCTGCTTTTCATTCCTCCATTTCCTTCCAGCCATTTAAGACAGAGACTCTCATTCTAGTTTCCCTGATAAACAGCCACATGTAAGTACGGTACCAAGCCTTGTAGGTAAGGCACACTTGGATTTGTGCACAAATAACACAAGTTTGAATTTCATAGAAGCCTTGTGAAATTTACTTTCTAAAACTCTTGGCATCGCTCAAGTCATAAAAATCAGTCAGATTAGTGCTCCTCTGTGGAGTTCTCAAATAGCCTTTAACCCCAACTGTCAAGCTATACTATGTGTTCCAGCATATCTGATCTTCAGGTTACTCACAGTTTAGAGCAGACATATGCTTGGAGCAACATAAGCTGAGACTGAAGCCAGCATAACATGATGTCAGGATATGGAGCCCCAGCTTTTATGGGTTCTACTGGGCAAAGCAGAATAACTGGGCCAGTATTTCTAAGCTGCTATTCTGGGAAATGCAGATATTGTGAAAGTGATGATACTGTGAAAATTCTGAATTTGAAACAAGCGTTATATAAAATACATTATTAAACAAAGCCTCCATAAAAACAAGACTGACAAGATACTCATGGAAAAAAATATTTTTATATAACAGGTACAAGCTTTGGGTTGACACCTGTTCTGAAATATTTGGTGGTTTGGACATCTGTGCTGTTAAAGCTGTTCATGGAAAGGATGGAAAAGATTATATTTTTGAGGTAAGCAACTTTTTTCAGTCTTTGCAAATACAAAACTTTTGTAATGGTTAGGCATTAGCTCATTTGCGTTTCAGGAAAGGGTGTATTTTTAAGCAATGTTTAAATCATAAAACAAAAGCCACATGTCCAACTTAGTGGCAATATTTGCTGGAAAATGTAACTATATCATATGGTAGTGTTTTTAGTGTCTGAGGAAATGTTCATAGACTACAAAACAAAACCAAATGTAGATGTCATATTTGCCCAACCCTTAGAATTCCTTTCCTGAGCAGGCTTACCAGTCTTTTCCGGAATACTTATTGATAGCACTGTGTTAAGGGAACCCCAGCAAAATTATACCTTTACATGGGAAGGGCAATTATGGATGAAGAGAAAACTTTTTTTCCAGCCTAAATGTGACTTTTAAGATACAATTTCTCATGAACATAAGTTTAGAAGATGATACTCAAGAACTTTTGGAAAAGTTTAAGCTTTTTGTTTGTTTTAAGTTTAGTATGAATAAATATAACTCCATCTACCCATAAAATTATAACTTGCATATCACACAGTTCAGGATTTCAGCATTGTCTATACTCTTAGAACTTATTTGGACTGTAAAGATTTCCAGAATCGCCCCCATTCAAAAGTAGATTCATATTTGCTGAAGCAAGAGTATTTTTATAAATGATGGGAGTAATCAGAGATACAGAAGGAGATTTTGGCTGGACCCTCTGTTATTATGTGTATCTATTTATAACATTCGTACATACATATATATAAGCGTTCATAATGCTGAGCTGTACATTTTCATTTTGTCATAATGTTAAACGGCTCTGCTTATTTTCTTATCTTGTTTCACAAAGGAGATGCACACGTTTATTTCTTCCTATTGCAAGTGCTGAGGTCTCCCAAATCAATAGCAATGTAAAAAAGTCTTTGCAACTTGCAGAACTAAACTATCAGCAAAACAATCAGGATTGTTCCCTAGCTTCTGAGGTACTGAGGAAAACTTGAGGAAATCCTCTTTTCCTGTCTGCCTGAACACACCAGAATTTATCGTATCTTATTTTAGCAGCATGAAAGAAGTGTTCGTTACTAAACAGCCTGTTTTTATTCCTTTATATACTCCAGAGTGTGTCCCCAGAAGTTACCATTAAATCTGTAATGCTTATCCCAGTGAAGTCCAAAAGAGTGAAAAATTATGTTTTACTGTTTCTGCAGCAGGCCCCTCTGACATTAGATGGAGTGATATAGAGGAAATTCCTGGACATAACTTTTGTCATGTGTGTGACTTCACTGTTTGCATGTAGCCGTGGGTTTGTCTCAGTACCTGCTTTCTGTGAAGGTCTTGGTGTCTGCTTACAGATAAGCTCTTCTTTACAATATAGCAATTGGTCTTTGGCAGCCTCACTCACATCACTTGAAGCTTTGGGGGATACTCTGCATACCCTGAGGCCCCCAAATGTCCCTCTCACACCGATTTATTTGAATTCATCACATTTGAGATAGGTCATGTTGATTTGGCTGGCTTTAAGCCATTATATTTTGAGCATATAATTTTAATTCTAAAATAAAGAAATGTAAATTATTTTAAGATACAAGGTAATGCTAGTAGTTAAAAAGCAAAAGGGGGTGTGTGTGCAAAAATACAAAACTAGACTAGCATTGCATTTAACAACTGTGTTCCTGGAACTGCAGGTTCCAGACGTAAATCAATGTTACCTCTCATAGGCTGTAGCCAAAACTAGTCTGAGGAATGACTGGCATCAACCCACTCCACAGAGCTGCTCCAACTGATCTCTTTTATTCCTTATTCCCCTTTCATGCTGCTGTAATTTTTTTTTTTTTTTTTTTTTTTTTCTCTCTCTCACTGGAAATGAAGGATGTTTTAACATCTGACTTCTTTTTTACATTCCTCAGTTCACAAATTCTGGTCAAACTAAATGGACTTCACTTTCATTCACTGAACTTCTTGATTATTTCATCATTTTTGGTATTGAATTTTAGAGGATCCTGAAAATCATGTATCAAGAAAAAAATATTCGAACATACATTTCTGTTTTCTGGAATAGGCCTTACACATCACATTAAAAATGCAGGTGACATATTAGGTAATAGACTGTTTTGTCCAACTTACCTTTACTTACTGTCAAGCTTTCATATATTTCTGACTCTCTCCAGGAACCTACTGGCAATTTTTCAAATTTTTGAGCAAAGCCAGCAAGCACCATCAACTTGTGTTTAAGTCAGTGTATACACTTCATCTCTTTTTATGAGACTTGGGTAGTCTGTTTGGTAAAAGGAAGGCAGGGAACAGTTTTCAATAATATAATTGCTATGGGAAATTGTATGGAGTATCTCAATTGCTGTTTCTGAACAAATGCTCTAATTTTCCATACRTTCATATTTTTAGAAGACAAAATTATAGGAATCATCAGGAACGGCTTTATAGAGCAGTTTAAGTAGTACACATAATGTTGCAATTAAAAGATCTGAGTAGATAGAGGCATGATAATTCTTACTGTTCTGCAGAATTGGCTGAATTGTTTGGAAGATGTAATGCTCATCAGGAAGAATATTTAGAATCTATATAACCTGTGGAAATACAGCATTGTTTGCAAAATTCATATCCAACAGAATATGTCTAAAACTTACTCCCAGTTGATGCTAAAAAGCCAGCTTCCAATCAACATTGATCACAGAATCTAGCAGTTACCACCCTATAGCTCTCATACAATAAAAGAGCAGAAGACTGTCTTTATCAGTAAGGAACAAATTCTGTCTTTTGTTTTAATTTCAACATGAGAAAATAATGATCTAGCACATGTCTGCCGCAACCAAGAACAAATAGCTAGACAGGACACTCAATCTGTAAATTTTGGGTTTATGCTGCAGTCCCACAGTTAAATCCATGTCCTCATCCATCTGTGTCCTGTTATAAAACTAAAGCTTTCTATATTACTGTCATTTTCCTTCTGCACGTGTGACCTGGCAATAAACACATGAATTTCCTAATGTATGAAGTAATGCATATAGATATGATCTCCTTGATTTTTAATTTGGGACATTCAACCACTGTAACCACCAGTACAAAAGCATGCATATATTTCAGCCAGCATAGCAGAGTGAATCTTAATTAGGGTAGAATTCTACTGAATTATCCTTCAGTATTCTAGGCAAAGACTAACTTCAGTGGAATTTTYTGCATTGAAGTTGGGAGAATAGCATTTGATAGCAGAGAGTGATAGGAGTAATTGAAATGTGACCATATAAATCTGACTGCACTAGAACCTTTATCAAAGGAAACTTCATTCATTTTCTTAGCAATTCTTTTGAACTTGCTTTTTCAGTAAATGTGGTTATTCGCGCACTGTAGCAGGGATTATAAAATTTCCTAACATTTTCTTCAGTATTAGCCCCTGCCAAATTCTCAGGACTGGCTGCATCTTCAGGTCTTGACAGCTTCTCAGGTCTGGTTGCATTTCATATTACAAACTAAAAGGGACCTTAGGAAAAAGCCTATGCTTATTTCATATCTAGTCAATATCTTTCTTCTCAGAGATAGATCTACATGCTCTCAGGCTCCACTGAATTTAAATGGTCTCCTCAAACTATTTTTCCTAATATTAATTACTTCTCCCATATTAAAAGTACATATTAAAGTGTTTATTAGCCTTTGCCGTTGCAGCCATGTTCTCCCCTAGAATTGCAAACATTCTGATCCCCAGAGACAATACAGAAAAATAACAAATTTGTAACACAGCAGCAACACAATCCAGCTTCCTTGATCGGCAGACCAGTCAAGGTAAGTTATTTTTGTCAGTACTCAGACTCTCAAGCGTAGACGTTAATTCCAAGTAAATTCCCCCAGTTCTCAGGGAAAATCTTCCCTCTTCCCTTTGGACTTACAATTTTCTTACCTTYTTGTGCAGTTCACAAGGGCTTTTTTGTTAGTTTTTCATGTGTAATTGTCCTCTCAGAYTGACTAGATTTCTACTTTGCAAGCCCTCTATCTGCCCCTACTCTTTCTGATTGCCCTTCTACTTAGCAGCCTACTTAGAGACCTTTCTCTTCCACTGTCTTATGCAATGTTCCTTTCCTTTGCCTTCCTTTAATCTGCTTCTTAAATCTCCACTACTGCTTCTTTTGTAGCACCATTTAGACTTGGACTTCATAAAGCCCTAGGCAAAGGATTTCTCATAACATATTCTGTAACAGATAAATGTGTCCAGATGATGGCAGTCAGAATGCTTCCTCATTCAAACAGCAGATAATCCCTTTGCAATTACTGATGTCTTATAATTGCACTGGTTCCTGTACTAATCCCATTCCATTTCCCTTTATGTTGCCAGAGTTGAATAAACAGTATTTTCTTCTCTTTCTTAGCAGTCTCAGTCTTGCAGCCCCAAACTCAAATACTTGCCTCATCCATGCTAGCAACAGAGAGCATAGACTAATTCTTTGAAAGGTCTTATTATTGAAAGGTCAGTGTTTTATTTTATCACAGTATCATGTTGACTTAAACAAGTTGCTGTAGTTTCTGCTACTGCTGCTAATATGTTCATTCAGTCTACTATAGTTCAAAAAAGGGATGTGTTAAGTGCATTTCAGAATATAGATAGTTTCCACATTACAAGAGAAATACATTTTATTCAATTAATTACTGAAAGGCATATAAGCTAAAGGTAAAACTGATGCAAATAAAGTGACCATCATTTATAGTGACCCATGTTTTTACTGACATGAGCAAAACATTATACTTTAGATTGTCTTAYACTTTACAGATGTCTTTGTGTGTGTGTGTGTGTAATATTTAGTGGGAAACTCCATTATTTTAAATAACTGAGCTAGGCACTGAAGGTATTTAAATGGTATTTAACTAGTATAGGCTGCAAATAGACTGCTGATAAATATTATGCATTGGGTATGCTTAAGTTTTGCCAAGCTCTGTAAAGTGGGAAGGTGTCAGCATGGCATTTCTATTACTTATTCACAGGTTTTAAAAAACTTATTAGCATTCCCCAAAATATTTTTTAATCCCTAATATACATTTATTTAAAGCATTAATGAATTCTGATAAGTCTCACTGAATATTTTTATAGAAAGCAAAATTTACCTCATTCTCTTAAAAAAAAAAAAAAAAAACAAAAACAAAAAAAGCCTAGCCTGTAAAGCATTCTCACTCCTTGAGCTTCTTAGCCAAAGAAGAGCAGAACTGCTCTCTTAATGAAGTCAACTTCTACCCATGAAGGCAGCAGAAGGTAGGCCCGCTCCTAGCAGCCACATTCCAGGCAGTGTGTAAATGCTGGTTTTGGATGCTTAGACCAATCCCTCCCAGCAATTGAAGTGAAGGAGGCCCTGCAGTCTCCTGTCACCTCTGGCCACCCAGCCAGCCAGCTTGCCACACTAGTGCAATGAATTATAAATCTGAGCACTGTGCCTTGCAATTGAACCACTTTAAGCATGGTTATTTTTTCACTTACTCTGCCATTCAGGAGCATTTCATCTTGGAATCAGTACTTTCATTGCTTTCTCTTTTTACAAATTTGGTAAACTTCAGTAAAGGGGCCGAATCTTTATATAGCTCATATATTGCTCATCAACTTTTCCAACTTGGCATATGACTAAGTACTTGTTTAGTTTAAGGTTCAGCACACCTTTGACCAACAATATTTGTTGAAGTATGGCAGCCATCAAAAGACTTTTTAACAACATCAAAGTAACAAAAGGTTGTCTGGGGAAATGGCTATGTTTTCTACTGCTGTATGTGTTCTAGTCTGCCTCAGTATGTGACATGGCAGATATGCTTGAAAATATTACCTTAGGCTTTGAAGAAATGTAAGATTTCCTTCAAAATATACCTGAGGGCAGTCAACGAAGTTTCCTCTGAGTATGGGAAAAGATCTGCTAAAAGATTTTTGAAGAGTAAACCTTCAATTTAAAATCCAAGTCAGCTAAGCCTTACTGAATGCCAGGACTCAAGGCAGTGCTGGCCAGTTGGCCGCATATCTCCCGAGTGCTCTGTCAGGCCCAGCAGGGCAGTCTTTAATTAAGCACCCTGGACCTTTGCCAGTGAGTCTGAAAGCTTCACACATTGTCAGTACTTTAGCAGTTTAAGTTGTGGTAGTGAGCTCGGGTCATTTACTGAAACTAGCACACTTCTGCTTAGGACACAAAGGCACTACAAAAGGGTGGTAAAACTCTATCAAAATGCCTTTGTTGAAACCTTGAGAAAAGTTGACTCTTTATAAAGGTATCCTAATTTGCACTCATGTTTTTACTGGTGTGACAATTTGAGGAACCTTGGAAACTGCATGGATTTGCTGGTTCCCTGATTCTAGCAGCTCCATCAGAAATTACGAGCCTAGGCTTTATGGCAATCCTTATCCTAAATCGGCAATTAGATGGCTGCAGATTAGTTGAGATATGTTTGGTTTTGGGTTAGTAATGGCAACCTGCTTTCAGTGTTAAAACTCCCAATTCTTGAAGAGAATAACAACATATATAATGAACATGACTTGGTGTACATGGTTTTTCTGTAAAGTTACATGTTTTGGGGTTTGCTACCGGTGTCTTGAACCACAGTGACTTTTTGGGGGGATGATAGAATCAGACACGGTAAGTAAGTAGTGGTTATTGTGCCTGTTCTCTAGAGTAATAGTCAGAATTGGATGAGGAGAGTATTAAGTAATGAAAATGTTTATAAAGGTATAAGGTACTCACTCAGGATACTATGTTGTTACTAATACACTCAGTGATTCATGACAACAACAAAAAGCTTTCAAAAACTATTAGTTGTGCCGGGCTAATGTCTCTTGGAAAGTTTACAAGGTTTTATAGAATGATTCAGGCTCTCTAATGTGTTGATAAGAACAGCTCCTTTGATTTTTTACCAACAAAACTAAAAGCTAAAATTGAAAAAAGATGCACTATAAGATAACCATTAACTATTTATGCTCAAATCTAAAATGAAGATGGCAGTATTTTGTTACTTAATGCATATTTCTTAAGCTATATGTGAAATATATCCATAGACTCTGCTTTTTGTTGCTGCAGGCATTTCACAAGTGCTTTCCTAACGCTCCACCTGCCATTTCTCTAATTCCCATAAATTGTTTTGCTTAATTGAATATCCCTAATGACTTTCAACTTTCAGTGAGAAAAATCATTTTATTTTGTGTTAAAATTGTCAGTCTTTAAAAGGGCAAGAATGAGAAAATTCTATCCAAGACATACTCAGAAATCTCATTTAAGCTTGATGAGGCCCTGGGATTTCAACTGCTGCAATGTCAGTGTAATAGTAGCAAAAACCACATTTTTTAACTTACAAATCAGATATCATAGATAAAAGTTCAGTAATAACCTGTCAGATATTGCATTTTAATTTAGAATTTAATCCCTTCACACTCAAGCTACTTCCCTCTTTGCTACATTAATGGAAGCTTACTAACAACTGACTCTGTATGAAACTTTGTGCTCCACCTGAACCATCAGAAGTACTTCTAGAACTGATATAAAGCTCTGTAATATCTCAAAACAGATCTCAGACCTCTTACGAGCAGATAGCTCAGCTGATTTACTAAATTTGCCCTGAAGTTTGAGCAAGGTCTGAAAGCTTTTTTTTTTTTTTTTTTTTTTTTTTTCCCCCTTTATTGACATAACTATATTTTTCCCTTGGGTTTTGATAAATCAAATGGCAGTATTCCCCAAGGAAAGAGTTTGTATGTAAAGTCGCATTTACAGAAATACTTAAAAACAACAATTCAGTCCTTTGGCAGGGTCTTACATTTTACAACTTCTATTTCACAATCTTTCCAGATTACAAAGGACTTTCTAGGAATTACAAAGGTTACTCTTCCTAGGAAAAGTTCATAAGAAAAAGAATCTTTGGAGGCGCAGGAGGTGAACTACTGGAAGTTGAATGGGTGAGGAGCTCGTTCATTGTGAGGAAGAGGGTAGTTCTAAGAGGAGGAACAGCTGAGGGTTAGGGGACAAATTTCTGAAACATAATTGATTCTTCTAAGCTAGAATCTTTTCCATCTGAAACACTAACATGTTAGTTCTGAAAACTCACTGATACTCCTCCAGCATCCAGAACTTGTGAGGACCCCACTGATCTCTTACTTAAGGATTCCTTTGGTCTTTGTCCAAAACCAGAGTTTATTATGGTCTCTTCTGAATGATGTATCAACATAAGTGGGACCTCTTGCATGAGATTTGGCGGTTAGGCAGCTTTTCTCAGGCTGAAAATGAGATGGATACAATCCAGTTTTTACACAGAATATAAATGAATCAGATGCAATGAAATCCATACATTATATTGCTGCTAATGTAGCAGTAGTAATTGCTTTATCCCAGACAGCCTCCTATTAATTTATTGTTAGTCATCTCTTACTCATACCTATGAGAAACACCGGAGTGCAGGGCTGCAGGTGACATGTCTACACCTCTTTCTGTACAGTGCTTAAATTGCTAAAGGATGGCAGTTTGTCTGAAGAGAAATAAACCCTTTCCATATTGTTGAAATAAGATGTCTAGTGTTATTGCCTATAGAAGTTGGATTCATTTACTTACTACCTTTTTTTATCTCTCATTGAATCATATAGRTGTGCCAAAAATAGGAATATTGTAGAAATAACAAAGACTTAAAATATGCTGAACCAAAGTGAACTGAATTCAGTATTATCATTACCCATCTGAAAAGTTGAATTAAATAATTGCTAAACATTATTAAACTATCACATTTAGAATTGAAATACATACCTTTTTTTGCCTCTGTGACATTCCACTTTCTTTTGTGTTTCTTTTCTTAATCTTCTTTTTTTGTCTTTTTTTTCCAGCTAAACTGCAGCCTCATATTTTTTCGTAAAAGCATGTCAGTAATAATAAGCACATATGGTCTTATTTTAACTTTTTAATTAGTCCTTAAGGATCTATCATTTCCTTAGCAGAAATCCAACAAACAGCTACAAAGCTGAAGTTTTAATTGGCATTTCCATGGCTTAATTCAGCTGAAGAGCATGGTATGAACCAGAAATCATACAAGAGAATGAATCTTCCAAAATGTAGTTTGGACCATAGTGCAGGCAAATACTGCAGAATTTTGACAGTCCACAGAGTAGTTTAAAAAACCTTCATATTGCCTATCTGCTCTATGTGATGTGTATTTTCCACATGTTTCATGTTCTCCACAGAGTGTATGCCCAGAACCTGTGTAATGCTTTAAGACTGGGAAGGGATGGTGTTGTAAAACTGCTACTCTTGCTCCCCTGACTGATATCCTACACTCAGGCTTTTTCTCTGATACGACACATACCATTTCTAAGATACCACTTGCGTTTTGTAAAAAAACAGAGATTGCCTGACGTTCTACTGAGGTATGGAATTAGTTTCCTCTCATGCCATCTCATAAGCTCATGTATTGTTTTATTTTCACAGGTCATGGACTGTGCAATGCCTCTTATTGGTGAGCATCAGACTGAAGACAGACAACATATAACCGAACTAGTTGTAAGCAAAATGAACCAAATGTTGTCCAAAACTCCTATGCCATCTCCTCAGAGACCCACCGCCACTCAGCAGCCTCAGGTAGGAAAATTTTTGTATAATTTTAAGCTCAATTCTTCTCTCAAAGAATTTGGATGCAGAAGTACACATGCACATACCATAAACTACCAGGTTGTAAGAACTTATAGCATGTTATAGAGGTTTGTGATGTTTAAGTGGGATTATCTCCTGTGTCGTTAGTATGTTTTGTTAATGTGATTCTACATACAAATTAATAATGAGAGTCAGTGAATTACTAGGCTTTGCAGTGTTTCCTGCCACTCAGTATCATAGAAGTTTAAACACCATGGGAATAGTAAGAAGTGCTTTTGTAGACACTCTTTGCCCTGAGGATGTTGATAAAAATGCTAAGACAGTAGCTGTTGTTGCGAGAAGTAAATTACCTGATAATCTTTTTCATATCATGCAATTCAGGAAATGCCCTTCAAGCCTAGGAAATACCTAAAATCAGTTCAGCATACTAGAAAACTTATGTCAAAGGTTGAAAACAGATGAACTTGTACTTATTTTATAGTAAGTGGTCTGATGGTTTAAGTATGGGGTCCCTAGAATTCTGTCCCTGTACTTGTTTGCTTGAAAGCTTGCTTTCCAGCTTTGGAAATTATATTGTGTTTCCATTTCTGTGCTTCTAACCTGTTTATAACATGCTTATTGACCCTTTAAGCAACTCCTGACAAACTGGCATATTTGTACAAGGTTCTAAGAACATAAAAGTACTATATAAATAAATGCTGAAATGGCATCTCTTGGGTTTTTATGGACTAGGCAGCAGGTCTTATCACAGCAGCATAATCAGCCACAACTTCCACATACTTCTTTTAATACACCAAAGGAATAAGCTATAACAATACGTTCTGAGAATAAGCCATTAAGCGCTGTATTGTTGATCTCTACCATCCCATCCCCATGGCAATTAGGCCACAAAATAAGACAAACTGTAGGACAGGAATTACCAAGCCTAAGTCAAGAAACTATTTTTACTGTGAGTAGGCTTCACACCAGGTAAACAACTTGAAAACAGCTCTGTGGCATACCTCAGGCAGACTAGTTCTTGAGGGAGAATGACTAATTTGTTCTTCAAATATATCATCATGCTTTAAGTTATAAAAATATAGTGTCCCACATAAAGAAGTACTGTGGCTTCTATTTATATTATAGCCACTTGAAACTAAGCACAAAATTGTTGCAGCCACCTAACCACATACAATGGAGAAGTTTCCATCTGATATGACTCAAGTCCATTCTAAAGGGCACCTAAAAAGAGGGATAATGGGAAAAAATATATCACTTTATGCCAAAATACATTTTCTTTCAGATGTAGCAAATTAGCCATATCTTAAAATGAAGAGCCAATTATAGAGTTGCCCAAAACATACGAATCAACATAAATCAAAATTTGCAAAAAGACACACTCTGAGACATTTAAAGCCTTTAGTATGTCACATTCTGTGGGCAAAAAATAACATAAAGTTCCGAGTAGGTATGCTTTCTTGGGCTTTCCTGGATTTCAAAGAAGACAAAAGAGGAAGAGCATTTATAATAACTGCCATCATCCAAACAAAGGTTATCTGTTGTATGAAAATTGAGTATTTACTCATTTTCAAAGAAAATCAGTTGTAAGACCAGGTGCAAGAATGAAATTGAGACGCAAAAGGAACCTTTTAAGAAAATTCACAAATTCCTCAGTCATTGCTGCATCGTGTGCACAAGAAAAGTTTCTTCCTAAGAAAAAAAGCTGTAAGTGAACCAAGAGATATTTGCTGTAAAGCTGCAGAACTTCCATTAGTTTTCTTCTAGCCTAGTTTATATTGCTGAAGAATTCAGCCTTTTCTGTCAGCAACAGTATGTTGCCTTTTCCTTTTTCTTATCCTGTTTGCTACTTTTAACGATTGAAATTAATTAAACGATACCTTCTGAATATCTGCAATATTTGTTAGGAGGTTTTCCTTTCAGTTAATCAGATTCTACTTCCTTAAAATTTGCCTTGTCATTTTTTCCATTAGTTTAAGACAGAGACAGATCAGGTTTTTTTCATACCATTTGTAAACACCCATTAGTCTAGTCAAACCTAAGGGTAGACCTAAAGTATTTTTTAAAAAAGTGTCTCCCCTTGCAGTTTATTTTTGTTTTTCTAAGAATAAAAATGAATCAATGTTGTCTCTAACATCTTCGATCACTTTTCTTCTTCAATCTGAGAAGTTATTTCCTAATCTTGATAAATACAGCCCATTCATTTGTAGAGCAGGAACTGGACAGATGCTGCATGTTTCTGCAGATGCTGTAAAATCCAAGGCCAGTAATGTATCCAGAATAAAGTGTACGTGTATGTGCGTTCTTTGAGAGCAAAGTATCATAAGCATCAAAGAGTAATTTGTGCATTTTGCTCCTTCAGCTTTTACGTGGACAATTTACAGCCAATAGTATGGCTGTACTTGTGCCAAGTTCTGAATTCTGTTATTATGTGCATGTTTAATTCTTTATAGTGTACCCATTACTATGACATTGGGAGCCTTGTACATAAAAACATATTTCACTTTTTAAAATGCCTTCAGTGCTAACCCTCTTCCAATTAACTGGGTATCCATCAAAAAACAAATTAACTGGTCATCCATAAAAAAAAAAACAAATCAAAGATTAGGAAAATAAGCCTTTGTTTAGAGACATGCTGCCAAATCTTGATGGTAATGATTGGCCTTGTGATACGTTCCGAAGCCTAATGAAGGTCTCCCAGTCAGAGTGCCAGAAGGAGCAAATTTCAAAGGCAAGAAACTCCAACAGCTTCCTGCTTATGGTGAAACCTCAGTAGTGCAGATCCTGCACTTGAAATTCACACTTAAGCCCATTTACTCTGATCTGAGCTATCAGATGTGCATACATGTAATTATATGTTTAATATTTTATATATTTTAATACACATTATATAAAATATAGAATATTTCATTTTATACCTATATACATACAAAATATGTCTATTTTAATGTACATGTTATATAAAAATATGTTTTTTATATAAAAACACTTGCCCGGGTTCTATAACAAGGTAAACAAATTGCAGAGAATTAATCTGTGACTGAGAAAAGCTGTTTGCACTTCTTTGTGTTGTGGCTCAGCCCATGCGACGCTGGCTACAGCCGGCAGACTGTGTCGTGCTTCTTGCTGTGGTGCCAGGCCACTGGATCCCTCTGGCAGCAGGATTCAACCATACTGGGATAGAAAGTAGTCCTTAGTTACAGGAGTCCGAGAGTGCCACATTTTGCTTTTATCAGCTACTTTGGGAGTCTTTCCACGACAAAAAAAAGCAGTAATCACTGGACTCAGTGAAGTTCTGTCTGATAAAACTACATAGGATCACAAAAATCTCTTTTGAAGTAATTTCTAATTGGTCAGAGCCCAGTTAAACTTTCTTGATGGCATTTTCTTTGAAATCAACTAGTATTTGTAGCCCAGAAAGTTAGGTTATTTTCATATATTTTAAAAACATTTTTTTTTTWACTGAAAAGTGATGTGAAAATATATCATAGAACCTTCACAGGAATATTATTTTAACAGCTGCTTTCCATGAGACAGACCAAAATCCTGGTGCTCCGCTTACAGGCATGGAAATTTGGATTTTCTTCCTTTTTCTTTTCTTTTCCTTCCTTTCTTCCTTTTTTTTATCCTTGGTAGACCTCTTGAGAAATCTCTGTCATTTCTTAAAAACTGAACCAGTGGGTAAAGCATTCTGGCCAATGGAATCACAAAAGTTACCCAATAAACAGTGTTATTACTCCTCTGTCTCCATCTGCTGATAGGAAAGATCACTGCTGAAATTTCTGCAGCTTGTATTTGCAAAACTATTTGCAAACGTGGTCAGTTTAAATGACTTCATGCTTATTTCTGTAGCAGCATTTGTGTGTACATAAAGCAATTGCTGCATATCAAGTGCAGTACATGAATTCATGCACATGAATTATGATGAACTCAACAGTTACTAGTATTCTCACTAGTGCCCTCACTAGTATCAATAACAAAAAGTATCAATTCCAGAGAGAAAAGCAAACTGAGTTCCCTGTTCACATGCTTCTATGAGAACAGTCATAGTTCTGTTCCATGAGTTGTGGGGTTTTTTTTTCTTTTTTCTTTTTTTTTTTTTTAATTCAAACTGCCTATAATGAGCAGCAATTTGTTACAAATYATTGCAGCTGTTATGGTAGCCAGACAATACAATTGTTTGCTTTGAAACTGAAGGGGAGTGCTCTGCTGCAGTTTAAACAGTCATCCATCAGTGACTGCACAAGAACTATTCACTACTTTTGCTGTTCCTCTGCCTCCAAATTCTTTTAGATCATAGTATCTAATAAGCAAAGTCCTTTCCACATTAAAATGTATATTGCTATGATGAAAAGCAAAATTAGTCAAGTAGCGGCAAAATGCCTTCCTAAAAATCGTGACAAAGAATCTTAAGTGAAACTAACAGAATTTAAATTCATTAGGAAAAATGAAAAATATTGCTGGGGCATATATGCACCATGAAACGTTTTCAAAAGCTAAGACAAAAGCCATTCTTAAAACTGTAATGTTAAAACAGTTTTTAAAAATCATTTTTGAAATATTGAGAGTTTATTGCAGAGCCAATAATCTTTACTACGCCTGTGAGTTTTGGTAATTTGATTCATAGCGACATCTTGTGGCCTGTGCTCTTTTGGGATTTTTTTTTTTTTTTTAAATTATGTAGGATTTAGTATTCTATTATATTGTATTACAGAAGCAGCATTACACTAAGCAGGAGTGTGCATTTTGCAAATACTAAATGTTCCTTATTCAAAAGTATTGTTCCATTCTGATGTATTTTTTTCTTTATTTTCATTAATGTTATTTGTAATAAACTTTAATGCAGTCACTACAGATATAGATATATGTACAATGTCTAGCTGTGTATATTTAGAACAGGTGAGATATATTTTTAACCAATTTGGGGGGGCATTTTATTTATGTTGTCTTCGTGCAATACAAGAAAAACAATTTTTACTCTTCTACATCCA